TTAAAAATTTAAAAATTAGCATTATACTAATTAATAATTGAAACACGCATGTGTAATTAATGAAATTAATTAATTAATCATTAATCACTTACTGCAACAGTGCCGTCACGGGCGGCAACCGTGAGAATATCGGCGCATGAAACGATGCCCGGGCAGGCAGCCTCAACTTGGGTTTTGATGGTGTCGATGACATCGAACCCTCTCAATGAGTTGGCGTTCGGAGCGGCAGTCTTTTCTCCGGTGAAACCTGTTACGTCATCCAATAATACTGATCCATCGCATCCCTGTTTATATATATATTTAAAGTTTAGATATCAATAATCATATAATTAACAACGCTAAATTTACTAAATATCAATTATGTGATTTATAAATTGAAGGAAGAATGAAGAATAAAAACATCTCCCATATTCGCATGCATGCATGTGTAGTAAATCATGAAATTAATTAATTAATTAATGATATTACCTGCACAAAGCAATCGTGGAAATGGAGACGAAGCAAAGAGGCGCCCATACGAGGGTCGTTGTTCACCGCAGTATTGACAGCTGTCCTAATAATGGTAAGAAGATTAGGGCATGTTGTACTATAGAAATTGGGAGATAACTGTGCATTAGCTGCTCCAATTAGAACAAGAACAAACATTAACCGAGCCGAAAAAACATAAGAAGAAGTAGACATGGCTAAAAAATATATAATCTTAAGAATTATGTAATAAGAAGAGATATTTTTGTAAGTTATTGTTTGCTGTGAGAATGATGAACTTCCTTCACTTATTTATATAGTAGCCGGGTGATCGAGGAAGGGTTGCGGATAATGTTTTCAATATTCGTTTTTGCCTCTCTTTTTTTGAGTCTTCGGTCAACCCTCAATGGTAGTTGCATTATTTAGCGATGTATACTGAGAGGGACAATTTTGACTTTTCCCTCATTTTGGCATATAAGGGAAAGTGGAAAAAGTAATGTGTATGTAAGAATTTTCATCACGTTTTTTTTATTTTGGTAATGTATATATATTTATATATCATGCTATTATACGCGTACTGGGTGAAATAAATCGGGTATAAATATACATCATCGGCCATGGATTTACATACAAAAGTGCGCGTATATGTTAATGTACAGATGGATGATGATGTTATACTCGATACAATTTCAACGAATGTGGTAATAAGATTTGACAATATTTTTTGTTATGAGATAATGTGGTTACTCTATATATGTATGTATGTAAGTTCCCAGCTGTAAATATGTCGGGAAAATAAGTATTTCCATTCCATTTAATTACGTCTTTTATATATATATTTATATCATTTTTTATAATCAATAAATATTTATACATGTATGAATGTGATCGACGTTCGTATATTATATAAAGTATGTAACAAATTCACCGTCATCTCGAAATTACAACTTAAGGTTATTTTTTTTTATAATTATACTAGAGGAAGAATCCATTGCATTGCACAAAGCAATGACTTCTCTTGTATATTGTGGGGTTTCTTTTTTCCAAAAAAAATAAATAAAAAATAAGCGTGCAAATTTAGACCGGATGACCTGTTTTAATAAGGAAATTGGATGTCATAGAATGATTGACACGTGGATAATTTAAATAAAAATATAATTAGGATTCTAATAATTGTAAAAAAAAAAAGAAAAAAAAAAGAAAAGTAAAGAAAACTCCAACATAACCCATAACCCTAATTATAATTAGCGTGATTTATTAAGAGTTAAGACTTAAGAGTGTCACATGTCAAAAAATTAGCGGAATCCGATTTACATTAAATATCGGCTGATCCGCGCAAAATTTAATCTCAAAAAATAATTGAACGAAGACTAATTAAGTTAATTAGTAGTAATAAAGTGAGAGTTGAAATTCTGAAAACAGACATATAAGAAAAGTCTAAAGAGTAAAGACATATATGCAGGCATCATATATATTTTCCTAAAGAGAAACTGAATTTTCTTCAGTAATAAGTGTGAACATTGTAATAGTGGAGAATCCATATTCAGCCAATGTTTCCCTATATTTCAAAAACTTACATTCAATAAAAAAAAAACACCCCATTTTCTATAAACAATAATTTACATATTTTTCCCGATATATAAAACTAACATTATTTTAATTTCGAAAAAAGAAATTACGCGAAACACATTTTGTCATATCGAAAAGTAAGTACGAAACCCGAAAATGGCAAAATATACAGAGCCCTAGTTTATCTGTTATAAAGACATTAAACTGTGGTAGGGAATTTGAAATTAAACGTTATCTTGAAAAGGTCTTACACCTAACTAATTAAATTAAGCTTAAATTCCACTTTATACGACTCATTACATAGCCAATAAAATCAAACAATCCATATTTAAAAAATAAAAAAAAATCAGATACACGACCCTTGATTCATTAACTAATTTTGTACTTATTCCAAGCTTAGATCTACCTAGCGGTAGTATTAGTAGTAGTTCAAATAATCGATATGTCCTGGAATTATTTATTATTTTGTCAAGTTTATAATTAGGGATTATTTTGTAGACCCCCTCATTTCCAAATTATATAGAACTAACTATCAAGTGAATTACACTCTAGGTGAAACCCCCCTCATTTCGAAAATATTTTGACATACCCCCCTGGGCTACCCTGAAGTACCTATAATACCCTTCTAAAATCAGTTTTAACCCTAGCCACTCACGGTCTCTCTCTTCTTCTCCCAGATTCAAAATCCCCCCTCTACAAACCTTTCACCGGCGAAATTGCTTCCCGGAGCCATAACTCTCTCTCCGGTGGTCGGAATTCGATGGTTTAACTACCGTTGGATTCCTCTCGTCGAGCTCTTTCTTTTGATCGTGATTTCATTCAGTTTCGAGCGCGGATCTGTTTCTGCAATTTTTTTTCATTCGAGGACGGTGGTCTTGCCGGAGCTTTATTTTGTGTTCCACCCGTCGAAATTTGACGGGTCATCCACCGTTGGATTCCTCTCGTCGGGATCTATATTTTGATGATAATTTCGTTTATTTTTATCTTTTCAGATTTATTTCTATATTTTTTTGCATTTCCCAGCAATAACCTCTCTCTCTATCTCTCGATCTCTTAATAATGTTTGGTGATTTTTGAGTGTTTTGATGTTTTTATTCAAATTTGTTGATTTGCACTAAAGTAATTTCTTTTTGTTTTGATTTTGCAATTGCAGCTTAATGAAGGCCATTGATCCTTTCCTTGAAGGTGTCAAATTTTTGTTTTTTTAAGTTACATCAGATTTGTTCAACAGACTGTATACATTACTATACATTACTATAGTAACATGTAGTTACATATGCGTATATTTATGTATTTTCGTTTTGTATTTTATTGGTTCTGATGTGATTTATAATAAAAATATTTAAATTTGTAAATTTTTGTTGGGGTTTTATGAATTTATTTTGTATAAGTCAGTATTCGTGTGTGTATACAATTGATCGACTAAAAATATGGGGAAAAAACGAACATAACTATGAATTACTATAGGTACCATAGTTACATGTAGTTATTTTCAGTACTGTAAACATATTGTTTTGAAAATTAAAAAAAAATTTAAAAAAAAAATAAAAAAAATAAAAAAATAATAATTTTTTTTATTAAAAAAAAAAATTAAATATATATATATATATATATATATATATATATATATATATATATATATATATTTAACAAACAGATTTATAAAAATATATAAAACAATAAAAAAGAAAAAGAAAATAATAATAAATAAATCAGCGAAAATGATAAATGCAGGACCATAAATGCTGAATGCAGTTTGGCCGAAAATTGCACATAAGGGTAGAATAGTACTTTCGCGTCCCCAAGAGTATGTCAAATGATGATTTGGACTTGGATTTATCCCTAATTTATTTGGTGGCAAGGGGTATGTAAAATAACCCCTTATAATTATCAAACTAATATTTAAACTCCCACCCCACAATAAAATAAATAAAAATCAGTTTGAAAGTTTTGACTACAAACCTACTTTTCAAATCTCAAATATAAAATATATATAACGCATAACGAATATTGTATAGTGGAGCTTAAGTTAAAGTAGCATGCATGTATACAAGTTTAGTCAAAATTCCACATGCAAAACTAAACGTGTTTTCTAGATCGGTGGACCTGACTAATGCAGCCAAGAATATACAATTAATTATGCCTTCACATTTTAATTCCCGATATATATATATATATATATATATATATATATATATATATATATATATATATATATATATATATATATATATATATATATATATATATATATATATATATATATTTAAATAGATTTGTTTAAACCTTGTCACATATATATACTATATTGATTGACTGAACATATATATAACCAATTGATACCGTGACAATTAAAACATTGTTAATTAACAAAAAGATTGATGCAGCAAAGAATAATTGGCCATTGGGTTACACAAAGTCCTGCCCGATTAGTTCAACTCCATGGTTTTCGAGTATAAAAAAATAAGGCAAATAAACTAATTTACACAGTACTGCTTTATATTGAATTAAAAATATTCATATTTCACAGTTAATTATTTGAATGAATCAATAACACACGAACTGTTCAAAATCACCGGCGGCTATATGGATCTTAAGCTCGTTTTTCAATGTTTTTGTTGGTAGATTCAAAGAGATTTGAAGATTCCTTCTCCATCATTGCTTCATTATATTTGTTAAGCTTTAGACAAAGTCAATTACTCTTTTGGAACTATTAGAAAAATTGCTACTTTTTAGTTATGAAAAAAGAGATGGCGCGTGTCCATAAAATATGCAAATCATTGAATTTAAAAAGTTTATATGGCTAACTAACTTTTATTTATTTACTATTATTATTTATTTATAATTATTATTATTACTATTAGTTATTTTTTTTCTTTAGTATTTACTTTTTTCATTGGGTCATTTCTTAGCTAACTATTGCCCATCTATGGTCTCTTACTCCAAATATACTCGATTTATTTCACCTAGCTAGTACGTACATATATAGCATGAAATATATATACTAAATTAATTACCCAAAAAAAAAAAAACATGATGAAAATTCTTACACACCCATTAAATTTTCCACTTACCCTTATATGTCAAAATGAGGGAAAAAGTCAATATTGTCCCTCTCAGTATACATCTTTAAATAATGCAACTATCATTTTGGGTTGACTGAAGACTCAAAAAAAAAAAAAAGTGTGGCAAAAACGAACCACGATCAGCCACTATATAAACATGAAGGAAGTTCTTATCATTCTCATAGCAAACCATAACTCACAAACACAGCTTGTCTTCAAATATATCTTTTCTTATTACAAATATATTCTTAAGATTATATATATATTTTTAGACAATGTCTACTTCTACTTGTGTTTTTTCGGCTCGGTTAATGTTTGTTCTTTTTCTAATTGGAGCAGCTAATGCACAGTTATCTCCCAATTTCTATAGTACAACATGCCCTAATCTTCTTACCATTATTAGGACAGCTGTCAATACCGCTGTCACAAACGACCCTCGTATGGGCGCCTCTTTGCTTCGTCTCCATTTCCACGATTGCTTTGTGCAGGTAATATCATTAATTAATTAATTAATTTCATGATTTACTACACATGCATGCATGCGAATATGGGAGATGTTTTTATTCTTCATTCTTCCTTCAATTTATAAATCACATAATTGATATTTAGTAAATTTAGCGTTGTTAATTATATGATTATTGATATCTAAACTTTAAATATATATATAAACAGGGATGCGATGGATCAGTATTACTGGATGACGTAACAGGTTTCACGGGAGAAAAGACCGCTGCTCCGAACGCCAACTCACTGAGAGGGTTCGATGTAATCGACACCATCAAAACCCAAGTCGAGGCTGCCTGCCCCGGCATCGTTTCATGCGCCGATATTCTCACCGTCGCTGCCCGTGACGGCACTGTTGCAGTAAGTGATTAATGATTAATTAATTAATTTCATTAATTACACATGCATGTTTCAATTATTAATTAGTATAATGCTAATTTTTATTTATTTTTAAATAATTACAGCGAAGCGGTCCTAGTTGGGCGCTTTCACTCGGAAGGAGAGACTCAACCACCGCGAGTTTGACCGGAGCAAACGGTCAACTACCCGGACCCGGATCCAGTCTCAACAACCTTATTACTTCATTCTCCAACAAAGGTTTCACTACTCGGGAAATGGTTGCCCTTTCTGGTAATTATAATATTTCATTACTTAATTAATTTAATTATAGTAGTAAACAAATTAAAATAAAATAAAATAATAATTATTTTTGTAAATATTATAGGATCGCACACAATAGGATTGGCAAGGTGCAGTACATTCAGGAACAGAATCTACAACGCAGCCAACATAGATCCCGCCTTTGCCACCACAAGGAGGGCGAATTGTCCGCCAACCGGCGGAAACAACAACCTAGCGCCGCTCGACACCGTCAGCCCCACAACATTCAACAACGATTACTACACCAATTTGGTGAATCTGAGGGGTCTGCTCAATTCCGACCAGGTACTGTTCAACAATGGAACCACAGACGCGCAGGTGAGAGCGTACAGTACAAACTCCGCTTCTTTCTTCAACGACTTCGCCGCTGCTATGGTTAAGATGTCGAACCTCACCCCACTCACCGGCACCAATGGCCAAATCAGGAGAAACTGCAGACTTAGAAACTAATTAACGACGTCGTTCGTTGGTGTTCTTCTTCTTCTTCTTCCGATCCTCTTCTGGAATTTTGTGTGTGTTCAATAATTTGCCGAGACAAGATGAATAAAAATTGTTGTTCAAGTGTAATTTATTTTCAATTGTAATTTGTTCCTAATAAGTGTTACATTATTCTGTAATTGTGTCATCATTCGGTAATTCAATAAAGAAATGGAAATATATTTTGATATTGGGTGGTTATATCACCGGGTGCTATTTTGGCGAACATGTATTTTTTTACCATAACTTTTGACTTTTTTACTTTAAGTTTTTACCATTTTACATTTTTATTTCTAAATCCTATAATTCTTTAAAAACCAAATTTCAACATTCATTGCAAAAAAAATTAGATATTCAACAATTTCTGAAATGGATCCAACAAATATAGACCCGAAGGTAATATTTTCGTTTTTTCTCGAATCTTCAAGTACTCGTGTGATATTACGCGAGCACATACATTCGTGTGATTTTGCACGAGCACATGGCATGTGCTCGTGCAAAATCACACGAGAAAGATGAATATATATATTTTTTTTTGTTCGTGTTATTTTACGCGAGAACCTTCTCAGTGGTCGTGTAAAATCACACGAGACCTGAGTCGGTGCTCGTGTAAAATCACGCGAGCAAAACATCCTTGTTCGCGTGAAATCACGCGAGTAAGTTTTTTTTTTTTTTTTTTAATTAATAATAAATTAAATCGCATTAAAAAAAAATTGTACTCGCGTAGTTTCACGCGAACAAAGAGCTTTTGCTCGCGCAAAATTACACGAGTACATGGTCTCTGTTCGCGTAAAACTACGCGAGTACATTTTTTTTTTAATCATATTTAAAATACAAACCCTCTGTTTGCATAATAACACACGACCGCAAATTTTTTTTTTCAATAAAAAACATACGAATTTAAAAAAATAAAAAATAAAAAATTACATTCATCTACTCGCGTGGTTCTACACGAGTAACTCCACTGTACTCGTGTAGAATCACGCGAGTAAAACAAAATGCTTCGTTTTAAAAAAAAAATCAATAATCGTAATCTATGTAACGAAACAATCAAAAAAATGTAAGAATTACCTCCGATCTGTTATCGTCTCGATCGGGATCTGAAATCGAAGTACAAAAGCTTGAGAGAGTTTTTGTGAAAAATTTACCTTTTGATTTTTCAAGAATGATAAAAAAAGTGCCTGCACGATTAAATTGTGCCACACAAATCATTTCAGTTTGATATTTAATGAAATTTCATTTATGTCATTAATTATTAAGTAGACGTACACCAATATTCTTCACTGGATCGTGTTTCGTTTTGTTGAACATTGAACTTTGAGATCCAAAATTAGTCCTATATATACAGTCACATCAATTGAGAAGCAATATTAGTTGGGCCGTAGCTTGAATAATTCAATTTAATTTACAGAGCAAAATGGTCCGATTGGGCCATGAATAAAAGTCCAAATAACTTAGCCCATTTGAATAGTCGTAGTTCTCTTTTAAAAGCGTGTTCGGCACAAAATAATTTTGTAACTAAATTTGGTGATGAAAATTGAAAAGGCCTGTTGCATTCTGATCATGATTCATGAGTTGTTTAATTCTGATGCTTTCGATACAATTGCATTAAGATCTACTAAATATATAACTAATTAAAACCCTAGTGCTGTGTATTTTTTGTTGGTAAAATGTTTATTACAATACATTTTTTTCTGAGCAATTTGTGCGATTAATATATCAAATTTCTTTGTCGATTGATCAGTCTAGCTACTACATTAAATTTTATTTTATTCTTGGACATATAATTTATAAACTGATCATAATAAAAAAACGATAATATTTATGAGGGGGTCGATCATGATATTGATACTTCTTATCTACATACAGAGATGCTAGATATTTCATTCAAGCATATATATCAATAATCTTTATTTATTTTTAATAAATTCATATCAATCTGCACTTCCGACATATTTTAGATTTTTGAATATAATGAATATGCATGGGTCCTTTGGGCAGATGCAGAAATTCTTTCATTCTTTTTTATTTGTGTTAAGGTTTATATATCAAATTAATTATCTTGCTAGCTCATGTTTTCATTACCGACAAAGTTGTACGTTGGTGAATCTGCATATATATATATACAACTTTTTACTATTTTTTTTACTTTTTTTTTTTTGTTAAACTTTGAAATTGTACAGGTAATAAAACAGTAATTATATGTGAAAAGAGAAGATCTGAAATGAGCGTCGGTGCATTAGAGACAAATTAAATTAATAAAATAAAAAGTGGTAATTTGGGACAGATTTGGGGACAGATAATCAACATTAATGTATGATAACTACAGAAGCTTCCTCCCTCCTTCAGTACACGAAGAAGACAACACAGCATAAAAGATTCCAATTTTAAATTAAATATAAATATACAATTAAATGTAGATAGAAACCCTCAACCAACTGTTTCTATTACATTAAATATAGTCACACAACACTGAAGACAAGATCAGTAACTCACACAAGCTACACCTCTGTCTCTGATCACCAACTATAACTACTTTATATATTTATTATTTACAACTATATCATGTATGTATGCATGCTATATATTATTTAGTTAAAACACAAATTAATTTCATATCTTTCTGAAATTAAAATAGCAAACTCGTGTTAGTGGTGATTAAAATATACTCTAATTTTCTTGGTCAGCTTTGAGATTCAGTGGCTCATGCACAGTTCCTACATCTCATTGTTCTTTACTATGGTCGTAAATTTTTTTTTCTCGTATTAAGTGTCACCTTACGATGTTTCAAGTTAAAATTAATTTGCCCTATATTGTTAATGAGTACGTGTGTGTGTGTGTGTGTATATATATATATATATATATATATATATATATATATATATATATATATATATATATATATAAAACAAGAAAAGATAGCTTTCATAAAATGGAATTAAGATTCTTAATTTGAGTACTGCATTATATGACACTTCAACAATAGTAGTAAAAAAGAAATTGACAAAGTAAGTAATGAATAGTAGTGTTCATATATAGGGTTTCTCTTTAATTTCTCCTCAACAGTAAAATAAATGAATAGTGGTACATTTGTCTCTTTTGGTTGTTTTATTAGTACAAACTGTATTCCTTCCTACTTTTTTCTTCCCTCAGAAAGAAGATCTGTAACAAGACATATATAAATAAGGTGTGATATAATGCAGTAATTGGGAGATGAATTTACATATAAACTCACAGTAGGTACGATACATTTCAACTGGGATTATTGAAGTCGAATCAGAGCAAATATAATTTTAACTATATTACAACACGAGGCGGATAAAAATTCAGCACGACGACGAATTTAAATTATATAAAAAAAACAAAAAGACAGACTAAATCAAGTGCGTGCGACGTCGCACGTGCAAGTTGCAACATGAAGCAAACTATTTAATTACCTCAGGCGGAAGAGGCACGGCCGCGGCCGACGATGGACAAAAAAGCCTTCTTAACTATGAAAACCGAGTAACCGCCGTCACTTTTATCCTTACCAATCCCAAAGCACGAATTCGCCGGCGGGGACACGTCATCATTACGAACGGAACTGATAGCAGACGCCCTGTCGTCGAAAGACGACCCCCAGCTGGAAAAACGGCGCCGTTTGCGGACGTAGGCATTCGGCGTGGAAATCGGATCTGAAAACGAGGACCGACCAGACGACGACCACGACGACAGCGACGAAATGGAAGACGACGAGATCACATCGTGCGGCGACGATGATGACGTGGGCGCCACGTGGCACGACGAGGGTAATTTCTTTGGACTCATCCTCTTAAGTAAATTATGGAGAAGAATCTTGGATCTCGAGGAATTTCTCTTGAAAGAATCATTATTATCCAAATTGTTGTTGTTGATGAAGTAGGAGGGTGGAGGGGTGAGAGGGGGCATCAAATTTACATGATGATGATCAGAAGAAGAAGAAGAAGAATTATGCTTAGGTGTACCTGGACAAGTTTCCCATGTGAATGGAACTGCACTCGAAACGTCGCCGTAATATACCCTGAAAGATGACTTTGAATTCTCCTTTGATAGTAGCCTTGTGAAGAACTTGTCATCTTCATGCTTTATTCTGAATGATTTCTGATTCTCAATTATATCTGATGCGCAATTTGGAGGCATTCTTTTTTTTTTTTTTGTTTTTTGTTTTTGGAAGTGATAAAATCAAATCATGTACTATAGTGGGAGTTAGTGAATACTGAATAGAGGTTGGGTGCAGTACTAGTAATTAAATAAGAGTTGGGGATCTCAAAATTTATTTATTTAATCTGGGGATCATATTAAATTAAATTGCACATTGGGGTTCATAATATATATATACTAGTAGAAGCTAAGGCAAATGGGGGGATTGGTTTATACACATCAAGATTTGTGTCAACATGTGGTACGTATACCCCACAGTACTCTAGGGCTTTTAATTAATTGCCACCAACTTGCTACCTTCATGAACTACTTGGATTTATTTCATTTCAAACTTGATATTTTACTTTTAATATATATGCACAATTAATAATTAATTAATGATTATTTTTTACATATATTATTAATTAATAAAGTAAATGAGTTGACACTTAGATGTTTTGAAGTGGTTTTATTAGCCTTGTTGTTATATGGGATGAAGTAGGGTCACAGCTCAATCCTGTTAGTGTCAATAATAACCAAAAAAAAAAAAATTGAATAAAAATTGCTGCCTATTCGTTGTAATTAAAAGTTAAAACAGCATGGAAGGTGCCAAAGGTGAGTCAACTCGTTTGATGATCGTCATCATGCCAAATTGCGGCCATGCATTAGTCATCTTAAACCAGATTAGAACGCTATCAATACCTGATTATTTAAAAATTAATCGTCAGACGGATGTTTAATTTATTTATTATATTATAACTACTGTAGGGTTCAATTCATAAGAAAAAATATATATATCCTCGAATATCCCATTATTGTACACTTTCTCCCAGGCTCTGATTTTCAACACCCGTATATCAAGGTGTACGCTAATTCATTTACAAATATTAATTCAAATTAGAATTCTTGATTGTTCAAAAGACAACTTTGCCCTTTTATCATTTTTTTTATGTGGACTACTCATCACAACTAGAATTATAAGCAAAGGTGAGGGAGTTGCTGCTCTAATTTATGATGTTGTGGTCCTAAGTGTGGGGCTGAATGAAATGATTTAACTTATAGTAATATTATATGTGGTCCTTTATATATATTATTATGCCACGGTATTAGTTTCCAATTAAATTGTGAAGGCTACCCCTCGAGTTGTTACTTGTTAGATGATCACTGATTTTGTTTTTTTTTTTTTTTTTTTTTTTTTTTAAGAATATTTTGATCAAATAAGTAAATCAAGCAATTGATACCATTAACATTTATTTAGAAGTCAATAATGTAAATTCTAATATATATTATATTGAAATGAATATTCAAGTACCCCAACTGGTTATAAGTTTAAATTTTATTATTTAGTTGAAATGTGGTGATGTTCTAGTTAGAGTTGACTAACTGATTGTTTAAGATTATGCAATAGTAATAATTATCTAAGAATTGACCAAAATGCTTATACACTATATATTTATATATATGTATACATTTATGTGTAAATTAACAGTAAATGTTCATTAAATACAGACCATATAATGCATAGAGAATAATATAAAATAGATGTAAAAAAATAAATAAAAAAACATGAGAAATTAGAATGAAGAGATAGACATGGTGGGGAGACAACATCAAAGCATGGGTCCTGAAGATTGGACTCATTCTTGCGTCTCAACCCTCCGATGAAAAGTTTTTATTGTGGGGTTGGTTTATTTAATTTGATAGTGAAATTAATGTGACAAGTTTTTATCTTTCTTGCCTAAAAGATTAATTTGTTATTTCATTTTCTACTTTCTAGCTTCAATTTAATATGTGAAAAAATTGGTGGAGGTCAATTATTAATTAATATAAGAATATTATACCAACCAACTATATAGTTCAATTTCAAATAGTAAATCTCTATCCCTACTCGCTCCAATAATTTACAAATTAAAAGATATAAACAATTTTAGGAGTAATTTTCATTAAAATAAAAAATAAAAAAATGTGCTGTTTGGGATTGAATGGGAATAGGGCTGAAGATGGGCCAAGTCAGCTGTGCATGTCAGAAACCCTATGTTGCGCAATTTACACGCTAACTCAACATAGGCCTCGATTAAATTGCCCGGCCCAACTGCTTTTGCTTTTTAGTGACACTGCATGGGGAGACAAAAAATAAAGCCCGTTAGACTTGGGATTTTGAGAAATAAAACTTTTTAACTTTTATTTATTTATCTGTCAAAAATATGATTTAATTTGATTTTTTTTATTCTTTGCATCATAAGCTTTAATTTGTCCGCTGTAAATACAAAAAAAAAAAAAAAAAAAAAAAATCATATTAAGAAACATTATATAGTAAATTATTAACTTACAAAGTTCTAAAATGTAATAATAATTAGAAATTTTAAACAATGAAGGACAAAAAAACTCCACCTACATATTACTTTTTTTTTTCTTCTTTAAAGAAGGAAAAATAAAAATTATTGCGTCAGTTCTGAAGTTTTATTTATTTATTTAAATTAGATATTGTTGTAGGCGGAGTATAGGTTTGAATGAAAGTAGTGTTTGGGGGCAACGGCTCTAATCCAATTTGTTCTTTGCAACGGTCAAGTAATGATGTTCCCCGCCTCAATATATTAAAATTAATTATTCATATTTAAACCAAAAAACAATTTCTCTCTCTCTTTAACAAATTCGTAATATAATTCAATATTTCCTTTCTATATTTGAATTGCTAATATAGAAATGAATCTAGATGAGATATAGTTTTAGGAAATAAAAATCTAAAAAAAAAAAAAAAAAAATTTGTGGGGTAAAAACAAAATTTCGTCCCTCCATTTATTGAATTAATAATAATTATTTATGGAAAAAAAATCAGACATTTATGTTTCCAATATAGGACAAGACATTATCATCACCAAACCCAATATAACGTTACTCTCTCCTCTCCTTTCCTCAGTTGGCCGTACTCTCCCACAACTGTACTTCAGTCTTCTCTCCACTCCACACACACACACACACACACTACAAACTCTACAAGACGATATCAAATCTGGTCTTGCTCAAGACAAAGAAGATTATATTCTCAGTTTTTTTAAGGATAAATTTCTTGTTAGTTTCCTCTTGTCTTCTGCAATGGCTACCCTAAGTTCCGAAATTCTCGAACCCCCTCACCCGGTTGATTCGGCGAGGTCAGAAATCGACACCTCCGCTCCTTTCGAGTCGGTTAAGGAGGCGGCGAACCGCTTTGGTGGAATGGGTTTCTGGAAACCCGTTTCTCATAAGCCTTCTTCTCAATCTGAGGTTGTCCGAATTAACTCACATTGTGTGCTACTGTGCTTTCTGTTATCTTTTCTGGGTCTGTTTTTTTACTAATGTTTGTTTATGTGATAATTGCCTGAAAAACTACTGTCATTTTGGGAAATATTGAATTTTGGAGTTGACAAAAGCCCTCAAAATTTCATTACAGGGTTCACTGTAATGAGTTAGGGTTTGGAGACAAGGGTTTAAATGTGGAGAATATATGAGAAAACCCTTTACCCCAAATTGAAATTGCAATTTCTTTCTAAAACAATGCATCTTTGATTCACTTGCATTAGCTGTGTTCATTAATTTTATCACCCCCTTACTAGTATTGCTACACATTTGCATTCAATTAAATATTTCAAATGCGGAAAGTAGATTTTGATCAAAGTTATGGCTCTATCCTTAACTTAATTGACTAAATCTCTGTTTGTTTTGTGAATGGTGCAGCATGAAGGAGAAGTAGTGATTGATGTTTTCACATTAGAGGAACACGCTTCACAATTGGAAAGAGATCTCATCGCTAAAGAAAGGGAAACACTCGACGTTCTGAAAGAACTCGAGACCACCAAAAATTTCGTCGAAGAACTGAAATTGAAGCTACAGCAAGAATCTTCCGAAATCAATGCAGCAATCAAAGAAACTTCACTAATTACCAACAATGGTGGTGGTGTAGACCTTTGCCCCTCAGCAGCTCCTGGTTTTATCCTACTCGAGCTTAAGCAGGCTAAATTGAACTTGACGAGAACCACAAACGACCTTGCCGATATTCGAGCCACAGTCGATGTGTACAACAAGAGAATCGAGAAGGAGAGACTGTCTCTCGAGAAGACACGTCAGAGGTTGTCTTCAAACACTTTGAAGATTTCTTGTCTCGAAGAGGAGCTAAATCAGGCAAGACACAAGCTCGAGGAGGTGAAAGACACAGCCGAAGTAGTAGTCCACGATAGTTCTCGTGATTCTTTCAACATTACGAAGGAGCTAGAAAAACTAAGCTCGGAGACTGAACAATTCAAGAAAGTCGGCGAGGCTGCAAGATCGGAAGTCTTAAGAGCAATGTCGGAAATCGAAGAAACAAAGACTAAGATTAGGACAGCTGAGATTAGGTTGATTGCTGCCAAGAAAATGAAGGAAGCTGCACGAGCCTCTGAGGCAGTGGCGTTTGCGGAAATAAAAGCCCTCTCAAACACCGGAAAGAAGCAAAAATCACCCGAAGATGTAGTAACTCTTTCCTTCGAGGAGTACTCTTCGTTAGTTTGTAAAGCTCGAGGGGCAGAGCAGGAATGTAAGGCTAAAGTTGTGGATGCGATGCTACAAATCGACGAAGCAAATGTGTCGAAGAGTGAGATACTGAAGAGTGTGGAAGAAGCAACGGAGGAGGTGAAGATGAGCAAGAGGGCCTTGGAGGAAGCACTGAGCAGAGTGGAAATAGCAAACACGGGTAAACTGGCTGTCGAGGAGGCTCTTCGAGTGTGGAGATCCGAGCACGGGCATAAACGAAGATCCGTGCAGAACACGACTAAATTCAAGAACTCGTCTCGTATGCTTGACGTGAATGGTTTGAATCTTGCTGCTGGAGGTGATGGGGTGAAGCCGGTTCTGAAATCGACTCTGTCGATCGGGCAAATATTGAGTAGGAAATTGCTGCTGACGGAGGAGTACGAGAATGGGGTGACGAAAACGGAGAAAACTATTGGGAAACGAAAGGTTTCGTTGGGTCAAATGCTGAGCAAACCTTCAAGCGGCGGTGAAATACATTCAAATTCTTGTGCTAAGAAATCTGGGAAAGAGAATAACAGTGAAGTAGTTATGCCTGTGAAGAGAAAGAAGTTTGGTTTTGGTAAGATATCTCTACTTGTGGCAAAACAGAGCAAGAAGAAGAACAAGAAGAATTTAGCCTCAAAGTTGACATGAATCATTCTCAACTAGTGTTTGTTTGTTTGTCTTGTGATTTAGTTGTTTGATTGAACTGACTTTTGTGTATTTAGTTTGCATATTTGTTTGTTGTCTTAGATAAGTGGGGTTTGTCTTAGGTTTGTTGGGAAAGACAATGAAAATGTAATGTGTGTATGCATGGTTATCAAATCGTAAATCGAATCGAAAATCGTTTTGTCAAAATTGCGAATCGTAAATCGTAAGATTTATTAAATTTCATTAAAATATTAATATATTAAATAATGTATACTTATTTATGAGACATTGTATAATATTAACAACAATATATATATATATATATATATATATATATATATATATATATATATATATATATATATATATATATATATATATATATATATATATATATATATATATATATATATATTTGCATAGAAATCTAACAAAACTACAAAGTTATATGATTAATATGCTAATATTTAAAATTTACTAGTAAATGGACTTTACAAAAATTTAACACAATAAAAATAAAAAATTTAATATTAAAAGTATTTCATTTAATTTGTCGTATTCGGCAATGCATATTTTTTATTGTTATTAGATTCAACTAATATAAATTCAAGATCTCATGCAAACTCGTATAAGCAGTTAATTGATGGCAATCGATGTGTCCGAGTAAATCAAATATAACATTGAAAAGAAAAAAGAGAGTAAAACTCTCTTGAATATATCTCCTACTTTAAAATATTATTAGAGTTGTAAAGTACAATAAAAATATAAATATAAAAAAAATATAAATATAAAAAAAAAGCATAAATATTAAAAAAAAAAGTACAATAAAAATATTATCGATTTAAAAAAAATACAATTGGATATGAACAATATTAAAGAAGAAAAAAAAAATAAAAAAAATAAAAAAATATATATATATATATATATATATAAATATTAAAAAAAAGTACAATAAAAATATTATCGATTTAAAAAAAATACAATTGGATATGAACAATATTAAAAGAAGAAAAAATAGTCATTATAGGAGGTAAAAGTGTTGGTATTACGAGGAATTATCATATATTATTGTATTTGTACTTAAAATTTAATATTTTAACACAATTTTTAATTTTTTTTTCTGAAAAAATATATATATATATATTCTGAAAATCGTACAAATCGTAAAAATCGTAAATCGAATCGTAAATCGTAAAAATCGAACGTAAATCGTACGATTTTTTAAGATTTCCGATTTGTTCAACGATTTGAATCGAAAAGGATTCAATTCGAATCGAATCGTACGATTCAAATCGTAAATCGTACGATTTTGATAACAATGTGTGTATGGCTTGTAGGTTTGAATGAGTATCAACATTATTCTTTTATTCATGGATAATACATAGTCCTTCCAAAGTAGGCCCCACCAATTCGAATTATATTTGAGGGTAAATTGAATATATTCTTTAAAATAAATAAATATATAGTTTTGGGGTTGAGCACGCCACCGCCACCAGTTGCTCTCATGGTCATGGACTTTAATTTTCGTTCTTATTCTAATCTAATTAGTAATTACAATTATTGTTATCGGAATATGCTTTGTTTGCGTCTGATTATATAAAATATCCACGATGTTGGTTGTTTATGAACCGAACAACCTTATGCTGACGTGTCGTTATCTGAATGGTCCACGTCAGTTATCTGGCTCTAATATGTATCTGATTAACCATCTTTATAAAGAACCCCGTTGCTTAAAGGAACAAACAACTCTCTCCTCTCTCCCTCTCTCTCTATCTCTCTCGCGCTGACCTGAAATTGCATTCTTGTTGTTCATAATTTTATTCATACGATAAGGTAAAGATCCTGTTTTTCTTGCTTTTCCCTCACCCAATTTTACATTTATTGATGTCTATTTAATACTCTATTTTTTACCCCTTTTTTCCCCTTGTGTTTATGTTTTTTGTGCGATAAAATCTGTTTATACGCATAATTTGGGGAAAGAGTTGGGTAATTGGTACGTGTTGACTAATTTATTGAGGAGGTTGTTTCATCTACTAGAACGGATTTATATCCGTAATCGAGTTGACTCAGCCTTAATTTCGATCATGTCCTCTGAATTTGGCTGAGTGAAGATTTTTAGTTAGGGTATTACAATTTACATAATAAGGAAAACCTTTTGTCCTTTTCTTTTTTTCCGGCTTCCGATTGTTATTATTATTATGGGTCAACTCCTCTTTTTTTCTTCAGCGATTCGATACAATCAATTAGTATGAATGAGTATTAGTTTGCTAGGGTTGGTGCTTTCTTATAGACTATGTATTCTGGATCAGTTCATTCGTAAAAAAAATGGCAAATTTAATCAAAGGAAGATACTTGTGGTTAACTATAACTTCGATATTGTCTTGTAATGTGTTATTGTATCGAGCTCGTATCTAAAGTAACACAACGAGGTGATGTTCAATAGGTTTGAAACATTGGTGTAATGAAAATTATCTACGTTCTCGACTGCGCAATATGACAACTATCTATGTTCTCAATTTGGTTAAAATAGTTTAGATTCCATCTAACTATGCCATGGGCGATTTCGTTGCTTTCTTGAATATGTGATTTTCATGTTCTGATATCTGCTAGGTGATATCTATTTCAATGTTTTTCCTTTTGTTAGGCTGATAAACTTTACGTTTTTTGCAGCATGGATACAAGGGTGCTCTTACTTCTATTCATTGTCAGCAGCTTCTGGTGCTGCAACGCTCGAGACCTGACAGCTAATTATAACACCAAGAAGAGTGACATTGTTACAGGTGGTTATATTTACTTTTTCAATAATTCCTCGAAAGCTTTTAACAATCGGGAAAATTTGAAGAGAGATTTTTTTTTTTTAATGAAAACAGCATTACTCTGCCTTATACTTTGACCAGAAATCCATCCAGTAGCTTTTAAATTGATGACTTAACCATAGTTTTCTACATAGGACTAAATTGGGTCTTTATCCCACCGTGACACTTAACATTTATACGCTTTTTTTTCTTCGCTGTCAGGGAGCGAAGCTCAGCATGTGGAAGAAGTTAGAAAGAACGAAAATTTGTGTACATTGTGTGAAGAGTTTGCTTCTGACGCTCTTAATTACCTCGCCGAGAACAAAACCCAAACAGAAATCATTAGCACACTTCACAAATCCTGCTCTAAAGTACCTTCGTTTAAGCAGCAGGTACTGAACATGATTGTTTTCTCAAATAGAATCTTTTTTAACTTAATCCGTTCATAGTTTCCGTGTCGAATTACCTGTATAAATCTAACTTCATGCATGGGAAATTAGCTACCATTACTTTAAGACCTTCAAATGAGTTGGACTGTTGGAAAACAGAAATTCTTATAACTGTTATTTAGCTAGCCTCTGCAAGTTAGGTTACGAGAATAATATTGCAAAGGGAAAAGCGACTTAGTAAAAGAATAATCCTGACACCATCTTTTGATAATTTGTTGTTGCAGTGCATTGTTTTGGTGGATTACTATGCCCCTCTATTTTTCTTAGAGGTTTCCACGCTACAAGCTGAAGATTTCTGTCTAAAGGTTGACCTTTGTGAGAAAAAAGCTTCCGTTGCTCAGCATCTCACTAAGGATAAATGTGATTTATGCCAAAACGTTGTTACAGAGGCTTTACTCAAGTTGAAAGATCCCGACACTGAGGTAACTTTTCTAAAATTGCTCACGTAGATTTTCTTGAAAACATGGATAGTATTATTAAAGTCTTTGACCATACATCCGATCAAATCGTTTTCTGCTCGTCACATAGTTAAAACTTGTTGTTCCCATCCTGTGATAGGTTTTCCCTTACGTCTATATCATCATTATGTAATGCATAAATAATAGTTTGATTTCTGCTCTTTGTTTCAGTTGGAAATAGTTCAGCTTCTTCTCAAGGCATGCAGCTCTGCTGGGAAAAATGTCACAAAGGTAATAACAACTTCATTACACAGTGGAAGACGTAAATATAATACGAATAATATTTGTTAATTTGTTTCATGTGATCCTTTTGTAGTGCAAGAGACTAGTTTTCGAGTATGCGCCTATTATTCTCGTTAATGCCGAGCAGTTCCTGGAAACAAATGATGTTTGCACAATACTGCATGCTTGCGATTCAGAGCCAGCTGCTGCAGAGGCATCCATGCATGCTGCATCTTAGTGGAGGTGATCTTCTTATAGGCAGGCACCACTTTGATCTTGTTAATGCTATAAGAATGTCGGTGTGATTACGTTCTACTAAGTTGTACATTATAATCGAACCAAGATTAAAGCCCTTTTGCTTCATTCGTAAGATCAAAACTTTTGCTACGTTGTAATTAATTTTTACTTTTTTTTTTTTTTTTTAATTTAAATTGTGTCAACTGATGTTTAATTAGTAAATATATTTTCATTTTAAACTGTGATATTTGGTATTGATGGTTTTTTGGGTTTGATTCTCGTTCTGTTATCTGTCTGATTTATTTGCAAACCCCAAATCAGGCAAGTTGTTACACAATACACATATGTATTGCTGGAAATCAATTATGTACCCACCAAATAATGTTACATGTATAGATTAGGTGGAGTTTTAGGTGTCCGGTTTCATCTAAAGTAATTTTATTCAGAATCCATCTTCCTTGAAAATTACTTATTTCCGCTGTTACTATCAATTGAAAACGTGTTTTCGATTAGTAATAGGGACCTGCTGTCTCGTTCAAAATTGCGGGTTTAAGACGGAAGCCAAAAGATGGCACGTTGTTAAAGAAATGTCATTAACAAACAATGGTTTTATTGTTCTTGAATCTCATCCCTGGATCAACTGGATGTATTTACTGGGTGGTCCTATTCAAGGATTTAGTATAATAGATAGAGTACATTATTAATTAATGGGGACGGAGTTGGGTACCTGGTCCATTTTAAAATTGTAGGTTTAGGCATGCATGTGTTTTGTTGCATAAGATTTAGTAAAATGCATTGTCATCACAAGGCTACAACTTATCTTCATTGTGAAAGTGGGTATTAATAAATAAATGGAATTGGGTCAAAATTAAATATGTACGTGTATATGTATCTTGATCCATATAATAATAATCAAAGTTATGTATATGTATATGTATATATCTTGTTCGTAATTGGTTGATGCAATTTATTACTCTCTCTGTCCCATATTATATGTCTTTTTAGAGAGTTTTTTTTGTCCCAAATTATTTGTCATTTTAAATTTTCAATGCATCATTAATTGCATTATTTTTAATTTTACTCTTTTTCACTCCTGATTTGTTAGTTGTAAAATAATTAATGTCACGAATATATTAGTATTTTCCTGTGCTTTTCACAATAATCTATACACATTTATTGATTTTCTTAATATGTGTGTAACAACCCAAAACGTCATTTAAATTGGGACGGAGGGAATATTGTTTATTGAGAAAACGAGATATCGGAAATTAATTGAACTTGACATATTATGTTTATATGTTCCATCCGTAAGAAGAAGAAGAGAAAACCAGGATGTGGAATATTCTGGAACTCTTAAAGCAAGAAAAGATGGAATTATATGAGCCATAATTACGATTAGTGAAAGATTAACACAAAATTGATGACGCGTGTATGATACGATAGAAATTAAAAGTGGTGATTAAGAGTGTCAAGTCAAGTGTGCCCACATAAGACAAAGCACAAAACTAATCAAACCATCTTCTCTTAACAAACTTGTCGCCTTCTTATTTCACATTTCAAAAAAAAATAAAAATATGTTGTTACACACACCATTTATTTATTATAAAATAAATAAGTAAAAGTTCATTATTACATAAAAGTTTAATTAATCTTTAAAATTATAAATACACCATTTTTTCAGTTGTTACAATTTACAAATGCCTCATGCATTCAGATATTTACAAATCAAACAATCTTAATTGTATATATCTAATATTGGAGCTTCACAATTTAGTCGTGCAAATTGCGCGAGTAGGCCAAGGTTGAATCAATTTTATTTGAAATTTTTAATACTTAATATGTTTGACAATTCACATGCTACAACTCACCACAATTTCAAAAAAATTAGCGGCACAAGTGTAACTGTGTAACATTAACCTAACAATGCATTTGGACATTTCCAAATGCTGACTTTTTCAACCCATATAAATATCATCTTAGTAGTTCATTATTGTTCCAATTAATAAAATATACACTATATTTTATTTATAAAAAAAAAAAAAAAAAAAAGATTCCCGAAAAAATCTGCAAACAAATATGAATTTGAGGGAGGAGAACTATCGCACAAAATAAATCAAATTTTGTTACTCCACTAATCAATTAGGTTACCCACTGCCGTCTAATTTAATTAATTTAAGAAAAAGAAATATTTGAATATGTAAAACATTTAATTAATAATAATAATTAGGTGTTAACGCGGAATTAGTATATAGTGGTGGGTTTGTAATTTGTATAATGTAATGCCGTCTCTGTTCATCTTTCTAAACATCAAACAAACACACCTCACCAATTCGATCATCAATTCCTTTTCTTCCAAAAGGTAACCCCAACAAAAAGTTGCAGATTCTCTCTCTCTCTCTCTCTTTTTTTTGTTAAGTACTTGTTCATTACTGATTGTAATTACGAATTCTGTTATTCGCAAAATTTGATTGCTGTACGTATCTCTTTCTTTACGGTGTATTTCTTCTTTTAATGTAGCTAGGGTTTATTAGGTTTTTCTTTTTTGTTACTCTTCAATCTGCGTTCTGCATCTCTCTCATTCGCATGAATTCCTGGTTGAAGAAAATCGAAACTATTTTTTTTTAATGTTGAAAAGGTAAAACGGAGAAATCGAGGTTTTCAGATATGAAATCCTGTTCATGGTAGAAACGTGATTTGTTTTTTTTTTTAGATTTTTTCTGAGGTTTTTGTTTTCGGATTTACATGATACATGCTTCTTGCTTTTCTTCGTTATTCTACAAATCACTAATCACCTTTGTTGGGCTTCAATCTCCATAGTTTGTGAATCTTTTATCGTATTTAATGGGTATTACCTATTAAGAATAACTGCTGTCATTGCCTTATGGATAATTGTTATGATTCAGAATCTCAAAAGTAACTTTCCATTTTAATCAGATGTCCACTTTTCTTATATTCTGATGATACTGTTTTTTGATTATTTTCAGGTTAAGTTTCGAAAACATAAATTCGTAACCTCTTTCTGCATTCAAAAAAGAAAAACAACAAATAAACCAGGGAATGCTGAAAGATGTGCTTGCCGGTGAGACACTATTTCTCTGAGTTTGATGAAGTTGAAGCTTCATCTGACGTACTCTCCTTTATCCTCGATGAGATTGGATCGATAACTCATAGCCCTATACAAATCCGCTTTCAGAGGCAAACTTCACCAAAATATCTCAGAAACCATGTTGTTTCATATCCTGACATTTCTGAAGATGGTTGAGTTATTATTGCACTCTTAAAGATCATATTTCTCCACACAAATATTTATTACAGTCGAGTTTTAGTTTAGATTCGTACATAGCTAGAGATGGAGAAAAAGGGAAGTATCTTAATGCAGAGGTACGAGTTGGGGAAATTGCTCGGACAAGGCACCTTCGCCAAGGTGTACCACGCAAGGGATATCAAGACTGGAGCCACTGTAGCCATTAAAGTCATCAACAAAAAGAAGATCTTGAAAGTCGATTTGATGGATCAAATCAAGCGAGAAATCTCTGTCATGAGTCTCGTTCGGCACCCGAATATCGTGCAGCTGTACGAGGTCATGGCCACCAAAGAAAAGATATATTTCGTGATCGAATACGTAAAAGGAGGCGAACTCTTCAACAAGGTGGCAAAGGGGAAACTGAAAGAAGATGCTGCGAGAAAATATTTCCAACAGCTGATCAGTGCTGTAGATTTCTGTCACAGCAGGGGAGTTTATCATAGGGATCTTAAACCCGAGAACCTACTACTGGATGAAAATGGAAACCTTAAAATCTCTGATTTTGGGTTGAGTGCATTAGCGGAATCGAAGCGGCAAGATGGGCTGCTTCACACCACTTGTGGTACGCCTGCTTATGTGGCACCGGAAGTTATTAACGGGAGAGGCTATGATGGGGCGAAAGCCGATATTTGGTCATGTGGGGTCATCTTATTTGTTCTGTTATCCGGTTATCTACCGTTTCGTGATTCCAATTTAATGGAGATGTATAAAAAAATCGGCAAGGCGGAGTTTAAATGTCCTAATTGGATAAATCCGGATGCTCGTAGGCTGATTTCGAAAATATTGGATCCGAATCCTAATACGAGGATTTCCATATCGAAGATCATGCAGAATTCTTGGTTCAGAAGAGGCTTCAACAAATCCAGATCCAACATTGAATGTGGGAAAGTGAAGGAAGTTGTTGATGCAGATGCAACAGTTGATCTAACGGTGGAGATTGAGCCGGTAAATTTGAATGCCTTTGAAATAATCTCACTCTCGGCTGGTTTCGATTTGTCGGGATTGTTTGAAGAGAGTGACGACCGAAAGAAAGAGTGCAAATTTATGTCAAACCAATCTGCTAAGACGATTGTTTCGAAGTTGGAGGAATTGGGGAAACGTTTGAAGATGAAGGTTGCGAAGAAGAATGGAGGGTTGGTGAAATTTGAAGGAACGAAACAAGGGAGGAAAGGAGTGGTGTGTATAGATGCGGAGATATTCGAGGTGAGCCCAAATTATCATTTGGTCGAGATGAAAAAATCGAATGGGGACACATTGGAGTATCAGAAGCTAATGAAGCAGGAAATAAGGCCGTCTTTGAAAGACATTGTTTGGACGTGGCAAGGCGAGGAGCCTCGTCCGGAGCAGCTACCGGAGTTTCAAACATCCGATGTTCCATTGTTGGATGTTGAATTACCTTAAAATTCATGGATGAATGACCTTGAACTTTTCTCTTTTTTTTTTTTTTTTTTTCTTTTTTTTGTTTTGGATCTATTTAATGATTGTGAATAGAGATGCGTCGCTCTGATGTTTAGCTATTTAGATTTGAACCACTGATTTGGGATCATGTTCTTTACATATTGTAAGTCTTTTATTAGTCCCTGCCAACCCACTTTAATAATTGTTTCACTGATTTTTTAACAATCCAGCAAAATCACAAAAAATTGTATACTATAGTACACGTTTTTTTGGTAAAAATAGTTGAAATATTCAAATCTTATTTTATGAATTTTGAACACTCAAATTTATAGTATAATAGATGTTTATCCATAAATAGTTAAGATATGGTTCAGCTTTTTGCGAAATATAGGTAAAATATTCATTTTTTTTACATATTATTTAACACTCAAATATCGAGTATCTAAAATTTTTATCCATGAGTAGTCAAGCATTAGTTCTTTCGCAAACTGTTCACTAATTTTTGAATAATCTACCGAATCACAAAAACAAAAATTTAAAAAAAAAAATATTGTGTACTATAACACACGTTTTTTTTTCTTCTTCTAAAAATAGCTGAAATATTCAACTATATTGTTTTATCTTTTTTTAATACTCAAATATACAGTAAAGAAAATGTTTGTCATAAACCATCAATAAATAATTCATCTAAAAATGGTTTCAATATTTTTTTTATTAGTTGAGCAAAATCACAATCGTATGCTTGCAACAAATACTTGAAAGGTTCATATAACTTTTTATTAATATTATTTACGTCCTGTTCATTTCTAAGTAAATATAATGTGTATCGGATCCTTACGGATCAAACCGAATGGAACTGGAACCACATATTTGGATCAACATAACCACCCCTAATTTAGATCGAAACATTTCAACCTACTGATTTGTTCGTTTGGATGAATTCACTTTACCTCAAGTTAAGATCAATATTAGTTTTTTACGTGAAATGTCCGGTGAAGGATAGAAATGGTATGCATAGATTACGTGGAAACCAGGCATCATCGTATCATATACATAGTAGTGGGCTCTCTTTTCTCACATGCAGAGATGAGAAACAGATCAATTTAGTGGTCCTGTTAACATCAATTATACTCTTTTGACAACAGCAGATGCATATTACCATGGATAGTTTCTTTCATACTAAAATTAAAAAAATCTCCCTTATATAGAAAAAGAAGGAAGATACAATGTCCTATTATATATAATAATCTCCTTGAAGAAGAAGATGTTTTACCTCGTAAGGTGTGCCCTCAAAACCCTGTCATTTTCCTTCCTTTTCTTTTTTTTTTTCTTTTTTTGGTTTTCCTATGAAGAATCCGCGAATGCCCACAGAGACTGTGAATCTGAGGGTGAGTACAGCCCTCCGATATGAGGTGGCCTACTGATTGGAGGAGGGTTTGCAAAACCATCTTGCGGACCACCCTGCGGGTTCCATTCTTTTCTGCAAATAGAAACGACACCCGGATATCAATATACAAATTTACGCCATTTAAAGAGTTCATACAAGTAAAACAAATCGGAAAGAAACAGAACAGTGAAAATACATGGTTCTAACCAACATTATCAGACCTCAATTTAATTGCAATCCTTCTCCAACTTCTGTTGAGACTCTGGCCTACAATACATCTCTAGCTAACAGAAAATAACAGCTATGTATCCTACTCTTACCAGAAGATGGAGAGACATGCTTGTTTAAATACACAAGCTTACAGAAGAATCCCAAAAAAAGCAGCGTTTACTTCCTCCAGAAAAATGCCAAAAAAAGAAAAACTAACCACCGACATTGAACAGGTTTTCCTTATGCCAATTGCCCAGAACAACTTTAAGCTATGATTTTACTTCATTATTTGAAAAGACATTATTTCCACAATGACCTATCCCTCGTCAAAAACAATATACATACAACAGCATAAACAATAACAAAAATATCATGGTTCAAGATATTGTCCAGATATCTTTCGGTAAGTAGCGTTCTGATATTTAACTATGCCTTTTATGGCAACAGTAACAAAGAAGTAAAGAATAGAGTTGAGCAGGTTGTGCTTACTTAGCCCAAGAATTAGCAGCAGGACCAGCGGAATTTCCATAAATCAAGGGATTCCGAACAGCTTCCTCCTTAGGCTTCATCAGAATTTTGTTTTCAGGACTTGAAGTTGGCCCAAAAAAAGTTGTAGGCACCCACGGACCATTAGCAGGAACAGATGTATTAAATGTTCCAGCATTGTGCGAATTTCCAAATAAAACATTCTGTGGAGCATGAGTGCTGGAAATGGTTTGCTCGTCTTTCTTGAACAGGGAAGCCATTGTTCTAGGAGGCACTTGATGACTATTATCTTCCTTGTTTGGCAAGTTCATATCTGGATGCAAAAACCAGCTAGCAGGACCGCCAACTAAACCAAAACTATCCTGACCAAGAGGAGTGCTATTCCACATCTGCCATGTTCCATTGTCATTTACATTGTTGGAACTATCCTGAGCCTTGGGAGTATTAGAGAAATGGAAAGAACTAGCATTCTTTTCCTCCGAAACACGTGATCGCGACAAAGGAGACTCAATCGGCGATGGCTTCGTAACTTCGGAAGGTGCAGCTTTAGTTTTCACAGCAAATGATTTTTCGAACCCTGTACGAGCTAGAAAACCCACATCCAGCTGAAAGTTGTCGAGCGACTCAGAAACTGGTCCAAGCAAGGATATTGGATCTGGAACATAACAAGGATCTTCAAAAATCTCCGACTCCTCTGGTAAAAACTGGTGAGGTGAACCTCTCAATTTAGGGAGCATGGGATCGGAGGATAATGAAAGAACTGTACTGCTACTAGTTGATCCAAAAGGAATTGAAGGTAAACTGAACGGAGTTGGCAGTCCAAAATTAATAGGGTTGTTAAATGATTGAGTTGAAGTAGGATGAGATAAGGGTGGGCTCTGGAGATCATCATTAACCTTCCCTGTTGGTCTGCTTATAACATTCGAACTAGGTGGAGAACTACCAGATGAACGAGTAAACAGTTGTTGCCATGATTTTTTAGGGGCTGTAGGTTGAGGTTCAACTGTCACCTGCAGTAAAACCATTCTCATAAATAAGTCTATCATGAAAACGGAACTACAAAAGGGAGAGAAGAAAAAAAAATCAGTAATAGACACTAATAGTGGGTTCATAACTTTCTCCCTACAGTAGCCACATGACAAACCAATGACTAAGTTTTCCATGTAGCCATTAAAGAATGTAGATTAAGTAGATGCAACAAAATATGAGTCAATCACATCAAAGGAAGGGACGTGAATCTGTGATATAACTGACTCTCATGAGCAGAACTACTCTATCATGCATACCTTGACATATAGGTAAAGAACAACATGTGTAAACTGAATTATTTTGTGGACAAAATACTGCCAGGCCATTTAAAGCATTTCCCCGGACAAATGCATTGTATACATGATTCACAAAATGAAGCAACTTACAGGGTGGCTAGCACTCTTGTCATCTCCATTTACAGTTGATTTCCCAGAAACACCTCTGTCTGACGTTCCTATTTCTTTCCTATATGTCGAGGTTTGAGCATTTTCTACCAATGTGCTAGGTTTGTGTTCTCTTACAACACTAGACGTAGTATTACTCTTTCCAAAAAAACCACCTCCGGTCAATGCTCTAGAAGAAGATAAAAGGGTGCCCCTCATGCGATCCAGGTATCTTGTTCCACCAGTGCCACGGTTATAATTGTTTGCAGCAGCTCCCTTAAACCCGTGCCCCATTTCTATGCCATGAGCTTTCATATTTTCTGGTGTATTTCTGTGTTGCTCCCGTTTACTATTTTCACTCTTCTTGTTTTGGTCACTTTCTTTTCCTGCTCTCTTGTCCAACTCCTCAACATCAGAGTTGCTTTTACTTGATCCCCTGTCCCTTTCCTTCTTTTTATCCTGACGCTTCCTTTCAGATTGTTTTTTACCGTCTCTTTCCTTAGCACGAGGGGACCCCTTTCCTCGTTCTCTTTCAGCCTCCATTATCTCATCTCTTAATTTCCTTCGTTCCTCTACCAACCTTGCAACCTCTTCTCTCTGTTTTTTTTCTTCCTCTTCTAGAAGCTCCTTCTCCAATCTAGCCTGCCTCTTTTCCTCGGCTTTTCTCCTAGCTTTCTCACCTCTACTCTCCTGACCATTCCCCCCATTCTCGCCCTGATTATCCAACAATCTGCGTTCTGAATCAGCTGAAGCATCATCGCTGGAAGAACTAATCCTAAAAATCTTTCTCCAAAGCCACATGACAGATAAAATAACTGCTGTTAATGCTTTGCAAGCAAAAATAAAAACACGAGAATAAGATTTTTCCGCCAAACAATGGTCATCATCTCCACCAAATAAGCCACCACCATTCTTCCAGTAACTCGATTTTCTAACAAAAGAACCACCACCCCAATTCCCATTCTCCAGCCAGTCTGGCCCACACATCCACCCATTTTCCGACCAAGCCTTCCTATTCAATATCTTCCCACCTTTCCCCACCAGTTCTTTCAAAATCCCTGAATTACCCATTCCTGGAGGCACAGGCAAATCAAGAACCGGCCTCTTTGAAATATGGCCACAATAAAAGCACATAAACTTTCCCCCACCAGGATTCTGATCCCTATAGGCAGTCAAACAATTCCTACACCTTCGCGTGGCAGTCTTCCTCAGTTTCTCCATTTCAATAGCCTCGAACCTCTTCTTCTCCCTAAGCATAGCATTCCTCTTGACCCGCCATGACGACAACTGAGGCATCAGAACCTCGTACCAGAACAGGGTTACCAACAAAACTAACACACAAGCAAGCCTTGGCGATGTAATTTCAAACCGGAATGCCGGGGGCAAGAGCTGTGATAGAGCCCATAGCCCAATCAGTGGAATTACTAGCCATGGCAACATGGTAGCAATTCTCCTTGACAACTTCTGAATAACGCAAAGTATACACATTATCTTCTTTATCCCACACCTCTCTTCCCCAGTCTTGAACGAAATAACAAATTTCAACCAACCACAACTTCCCCAAACAAACTAATTGAATAAGTCTTCCACTGTCCTGATTTATACACAAAACCCTAGCCTCCAAACTTATTTTGCCCGAAATGCTTCAAATGCAACACCAATTACAGCAAATTCCTCCAAACCCTAAAGGAGCGATTTAGGCGGGACCACCAAATCACCAGAACCAACGGATAAACAATAATCAGATTCTCCAAACAGATGAAATACAGGGTTTCAGAACCGCGTTCATTGAAGCTCCAAAACCTAGATAACACGAAAAGAATAACAATCACGGCGGAATAATACGAACACGAGAAAACTAGAACGAAAAAAGCGTAGTTAGGTCGGTACCGATATCCCGGACATCAGATAAAGGTCGGCGGCGAACTTCCGAGGCGACGATTTGTTGAATTTTGATGAGATAGAATATTATTTGACAAGAAATTTTGTGATAAGAAAGAGAAACATCAAACAGAAGGGAAAAAAACGAAGGTATACCAATTGTGCTTTCTATATAGGCATGGGTCAAACCGGATGGTTTGGTCCTGAACCGGGTTGAAGCACTTAAGTGGTCAGAGAAATGATCCAGTGTGAGCAAGCGTTTGGTCAAAAACAAGTTCAGACGTTTCCCATTGGTTGCTAATTTTAACCTTCTTATTTCACTTCTTGTATACAAGATAATATGTTCGGACAAAATTATTCTTTAAATCATGTACAATCTAACCCCAAAAATTACGATTTTATTTGTTATCAATTCTCTAATTAACTTCAAACTCATATTTAAGAAAATCAAAAGTAAATTCGTGATTTAAGAAAATATATCCATCAATTTGACAAACTCGTTGTTCCCTTTTTTCACTTCTTAATTTTCTTTTTTTTTTTTGTATTTTATACTGAATTATGGAACTATGCTAATTAGTTCCCTTGTTTCAAAATTAAAAAATAATAGCTCATAATCATATGTATTGATTTTAGAAAGAAAAAAAAATGCAATAACACTAAAATAACCTTCGTGACATCTAATACGAAGAAACGAACATTTCAGTTAATTTGAAATTGGTACTAGATATTTTTAATTTCGTTATATTTCCACTTCCACGTGTAGTTCTCTGTGCTGTTTTTGTGAATGGCAAGGACAAGTTTGATCAATATTTAGATAACACAAACTTGACAAGAGATGCAAAGTATATATTTTTGGCTTTTATATATATACATATATATTATTGGTGACAACATAGTTGGTGAATCACTTCATTCGTGATATTTTTTAAAATTTATAATATATCCAATAAGAAATGCACAATATCTGAAATTAAATGAAAATATCAAAGCATCCAATTTTTAATGGATAATAAATATGGAAAATATTTGAAGGACATTCTATAAATACATACTAATATATATAGGTGAAATGAAAAGGCATGCTTGGCTTTATGCATACCAAGCAAATCAATGAACCTGCCATCTATTAATTGTGTTGTTTATAGTGTTCATTAATATAGATATGTTTTGTTGTTTCTTTCAATTCGTCTATGCATAGGTGCATTAATAATGTATTACTTTGCCTAATTGTAGTTTACATACCATACAAATTCAACCGTCCAAATAAATTACTACCACTTATGTATTGCTTAAGAGTGCATTTGCCATTTGGAAAGTAAATATGGGCCTTTCAAAAAACCCGGCTAGATGACCCATTTAAGAACTTGGATATATTCTCAAGTTTTTTAGTGGGCCATTTAAGAAAACGGATCGGATTATTGCATATATTCTTTTTAGAGTTTTCTCATGGCCCATTTAGGAACTCGGATCAAATTATTGCAAATAAAATTTTAAATTATAACGCCACCCATGAGGGCATATTTGTAATTGACAGTTGAAATTATGGACCATGTGATACTTAATATGTAGTTTGCTTATGTACGTAACTTTGATCTTTATTGCATAAAATTGCTATAACAAGTAGCAAACGATAACCGAATGGATCTTTTCGTATGTCAATAGGGAGTAGATATATATTATACAGACAAAATGATTTAGTCATCACTGAATTTGTCTGAATCTTGAACTGTTCTGTTCTACATCTATTTTGCGTGCGTCAACTTACATCAATAACACAATCTTCATGATATTTTAATTTAAAATTTAATTAGTTGATGGAACTTGATCAAATCTTTTAATTAATGGAAGAGCACTAGCTAATTTATTTATTAATTAAGAAGTAATAAATGGATAAAAGTGTTTATTGGTTGGATATATATCCATCATATATAAGCTTTCTAATTCTTCACGTAACTACGAACCTTGCTAACTTTAAGTTCTCTTTTAAGTTTTAACCCAGCTGCACAAAGTAGACTTCGCCCCTGCTGACGCATAAATACTTGATAATAAATATATTTATTTTTTTATTTTAGTAAAACATCAAATACATAAAGAAAAATCCACCAAACGCAGATATTAATATATAACCAAAGACCAGGTTGTATAATTGTTAATTTATAATATAATTGTGTGTAATGTAATTGAGAATAAGTCCATGTCAACGTTGCTCACTGTTATCCACTCACGCACACCAACCGACTCATCAAATTTACATGCCCTATTTTTTTTTTTAAATCTATTTATTATTCAGACATATATATAATAAAACTATATATTATGCAAGTATACAACCCTACCTATTAATTGCTTATGGGCCGAGTCTAATTAAATAAACATACAATTTAATAATACCCAATCAGCCTTATCCTAATTGCTACGCAACAATATTTCAATTTTATTGAGTTATTTACATCTTTCAGATTTCACTAATTCTTCATGTGAAAAACATTTATATGGGGCTGTGCCGACTTCCGGCGGCTCTTGTTTGGCACGGTCGTTTTGAATTCCTCACACTTTGTTTTAATTACTTTTAACTATTAATTAATTAAACATTTTATTAATCTTTGTTGTCATCGAACTAACTGTAGTCGTGCCAAATGCTCACGCCATCACACCTTATAAAAAAAATAAAAAATAAAAAAATCAATATTTAATACCTAATCAACAAAAAGAAACTGCTCAATTATACAGCTTGACTGCCTAATATATGTAGACATGTAGCCTACTCCTCCATTGATTAGTTGTTGCATTTCTTTTCTGCAAAAAAAGAAAGAAAAAAAAAGATTAAACCTTTAGACTAAGCATCTTATTAAGTTTGGTCCACATTCACAGCTCATTACCTTTGATTCCTAATTTCAATTTCAATTTCAATTGCGTTCCCTTCCAACAAAAGTCTTTTTTAACAACTTATCTCTCTACCTACATACTTCAATTCATCAATTCATCAATTTGTTTGCTTCAATCGCGGATAAATTCATATTCTGCGGCGGTGGATGGCTGTTTCACAGGAGGTTTTTCCGGTGAGAAAGCGGCGGCCGTCGTTGGGGGCGTTTATATCGCCGGATTTCTCCGACCGGAATCTCCTCCGAGCGCTGTTTCTTCTATCTCATGAAATTTCAACTCTGCAGCCGATGAGAGTTCTTCTGAGGAAAAGCTCTGCTTCGATCATCAGAAAATCGAAGCTGATTTCCATACTTTTCGAGGAACTTGTTCAGAATCATGAGAATGTTCTTCCGCCTTCTGCTGCTTTGTGCTTCGAGGAGTTGTACATACTTTTGCAGAGGATAAAGGTACTGTTGGAAGACTGTTCCTCATACAGCAAAATGTGGCTGTTAATGCAAATTCCTTCTACTTCGAGCTCTTTTTATCAATTGACTGTTGAATTATCGACGCTTCTCGATATTTTTCCGGCGAGGGAGCTCAATTTGAACGAAGATGTTGAGGAATTGCTTAATTTGATTAGAAAGCAGTGCTCGGAAAAAGTTGCAGGTGGTTGTGTTGAATCGAACGATGAAAACCTCAGAACGGAGGTACTGAAAATGCTGGAGAACATCAAAAGAGAAATTGTTCCCGATCATTCGAAGCTCTCCGATATTTTCGAACGATTGAATTTAAACGATTCCGCTGGCTGCACAGCCGAAATCGAGAATCTCGAAGACGAAATTCAGAATCAAAACGACGACAAATCGAAGGCGGACGCCGTCGCGCTGATCGGACTTGTACGCTACGCAAAGTGCGTGTTGTACGGCGCCTCCACGCCTAGAATCACCACCAGGAGGCAGAAATCGACGGCGGAGGTGAACTGCCCGGCGGATTTCCGGTGTCCGATTTCTCTCGATTTGATGAGAGATCCGGTGGTGGTGTCCACCGGCCAGACTTACGACCGGTCGTCGATAAACCTGTGGGTCGAATCGGGGCACGCCACGTGTCCGAAGACAGGTCAGACACTGTCCCACACGCATTTCATTCCTAATTTGGCGTTGAAGAATATGATAGCTATGTGGTGCCGCGACCAGAAGATCCCTTTCGAGTCAATGGAAGTTAACGTCAAACCTAACGCCGTTGCCTTGAATAAAACCGCACTCGAAGCAATCAAGATGACCGTTTCTTTTCTGGTCAACAAGTTAACGGCGCAGCAGACGTCGGAAGTAATTGACCGTTTAGTTCACGAGCTTCGTGTTCTGGCCAAGACCGATTCCGACAGTCGAACCTGCATCGCCGAGGCTGGAGCCTTGCCTTTGCTGGCAAAGTTCTTAGGGTCGGAACACCCGAGCCTACAAATCAACGCCGTTACCACCATTCTCAACTTGTCCATACTCGAAGCAAATAAGACAAGGATTATGGAAACTGACGGAGTACTGAACGGCGTTATCGAGGTGTTGAAATCGGGCGCCACGTGGGAGGCAAAGGGGAACGCGGCGGCCACCATTTTCAGCCTGACGGGGGTGCACGCACACCGGAAGAGACTCGGGAGAAAGACACGTGTCGTGAGGGCGCTGCTAGATCTGGCGAGGGCGGGTCCCACGGGCTCGAAGAGAGACGCTCTGATGGCGATTTTGAATTTGGCGGGTGACAGGGAGGCGATTGGGAAGTTGATTGAAGGAGGAGTGGTGGATATGATCGGGGAAGTGATGGACTCGCTGGTGGAGGAAGCGGTGGCGGTTCTGGAGGTGGTGGTGAAACGGGGCGGATTGGCGGCGATTGCGGCGGCATACCATGGGAATGTGGTGAAGAAATTGACGGGGGTATTGAGGGAGGGTTCGGACAGAGCAAAGGAGAGCGCGGCCGCGACGCTAGTGAATATGTGCCGGAAAGGTGGGTCGGAGATGGTGGGGGAGCTGGCGGCAACGTCGGGGATAGAAAGGGTAGTTTGGGAAATAATGGGGACGGGAACTGGGAGAGGGAAGAGGAAGGCGGCGACGCTGTTGAGGATTCTAAGGAGATGGGCTGCTGGCTTAAGTGGACCGCAGTTCACTCTCCAGCAGCACTCTACAACTCTTAATATGACCTCAGCCAGGATAGTTTTACCTGCATAACATTTTGTTACTACTATTTTTTGTTTGTTTGTTTTTTGCAATATTGTTTTTTTTCTTATACATTCATTTGTTCAAATCCAAAGATGGCTTCTAATTGTGTGTAAATGATGATGATGATGATTATCCCACATTAATCCGTCTTCTTCAATTGTCATGTCTCAAATCAGTCACCATCTAATTAATTAGTTGTATGAAGTTTGGTTTCTCTAAACACAATTAACAGTGTCTAGAACTTATAATTATAAATGGAATTAATGAATAAATTGCATAATGGGACTGGGAGACTGGGAGTGTCACGTTATTGAACCTTTTAAGTTCAGATTAAGGCAGTTCAAACGGCCCACGCATAGCACATGGAAGTTCGGCCCGTTGGGAAACAGGGTTTACTTACCCGGCCCAAATATTGCTACCCGGGTTTGGGCCGGAAAATGAAAAGCACCTAGTTGATAAAAACAAATGGGTTGAGATCTCAAAGGTACGGTTGTCAATTATTTGTCGGATTGGAACAGAAAGAGATGTATTCAAATTGTCGGATTGGAAGAGAAAGAGATGCATATCTCACATTTATGATAGGGGCTTTACCTTTTTGTCCTTGCTTAGAACATGGGTACAGTTGTACATCAATTTTGGGACGTTATTGTGTTTTGTGCATTCCTTTTCATACCTAGTAGTTGTCTTGCATACTCGTATCAAACTCAACCACACATCAATTTTGAGGATGATAAGGTCACTTGTATACATGTCACCACACCCAACTATTTTTCCACTGAATTAGATGCTACATCTGTTATTTATTTACACCAGACACTTGTTAACCGTACACGTGTGTGATTATGTGCAGATGTTTGATTGTACATCCCCATGATCATTTGCAATGTGGCAAGTGAATTGGGTGTATTCTAAAAAACAGTGAATTATTACTATTGTTTTTTAAATTGATTTTATGAAAAAGAAAAAGAAAAATTGAATTAAATCTAGTACAAAAATAAAGCTGACAGGGGTGGTGGTGCATAGTACAAGATAGAAGCCCCTACATACAAATTCACAACAAAGCTAGAGAAGGCTAGAGAAGGCTAGATTTTACCAACAAAACAAGTACCGTACCATTGATTACATCCCAAAGATGATTTCTGCTACTAAAAAAGGCCATGTAATAATTCTGACACTTTGTCATTTAAGTTTTTTTCTTCCTGATTGCATGCAGTGCGCACTGGATCGGACTATACATACAACATATATAGATACGTACACTACACATCTAATTTGATGATTTCATGAATGCACATGTCCTGAGATGGACAAAGACATTTTACATGCAAGTGTCTTATTGATAATTGACTCTACTGCATGATATATATATTTAGATATATATATAGGCTGGAAATTAATAGGTCATCTATCTATCTACCTTTTCATGTGGCTAGTGAGCTAGCCTGTGACTTGGTTTTGGTTTTTTTTTTTTTTTTTTGTCCAGTTATATCCCTTAGATTTTATGGTGTAAATGTTATAATTATACACATCATAAAAGGCAATTATATTCGCGCAATTAAATAAAATAAAATAAAGAAACAGCACTAAAATTTATGTGGATCGGCATGCCCCATGCAAAACCAATGCCTGAGGAATCAATAATTCATATAATATGTGTATGTTGCTTTGTGGTGTTTAAAATGATGAACATGATTACTATCAAACTTACTAGTTCAAAAAGGTCCTAATAATTTTACCTAATTAATACAGAAAACAATATTCTATAATAAATAACAAGAACACACACATAAAATTTAATAAAGTTGTGGTTACGACAAACAGTTTAGGTGGCCTTTTTTATTTAAAAGAAACCAAAAAACAAAACAGGAAGACAAAAGCAAATTGCTAATTATTTTATGACACAAATTTCTTCATGCATGGACCCCATACCCCATAGCTCTATTTATCCAACATTTTTTTCACTCACTCACTCACTCCCACCAAAAAACCATTTCTCACACTCACACACACACACACACACACAGAGAAACACACACAATTATCACAGAAAAAAAAAAAAAAAGAGGAATGGGGAATTACAAGTTCAGATTATCAGACATGATTCCAAATGCCTGGTTTTACAAGCTCAAGTACATGACCAGGCCTAGAAATAACCTCAACACCAACAACAACAAAACCTTAATAAACCCTACTAACAACAACCAAATTACCTCCACGTCATCATCTTCTTCTTCTTCTTCATCAACTGCAGCACCTTCGAATAATATTCCTCCATCAACAATTACTAGCCAATCCCATTCTAGCAGCTCAGACCAAAGAAAATCCTACTACTTCACTAGGGACCTCACTAATTTACAGCCCAATAATTCTCCGACAACAAAGACAACGAGGATTTCAGTTTCAGACAAGATCGAACCGCCAAGAAAATCATCACGAAGAAGAAGGAGCACCAAGAGGATGATCATCAGCCGGCGGCAACCGCCGAGTCATCAGCTCGTTTCCTCCTCCCTCTCCGCCGGCTGCAGCTGCCGCGCCACCCTCGAGTCCGTCTGGACAAAGCCACCGGAAGATTCGACCATCGAACAAAATTCATCGTCGGAACATGAATCCCTCTTGACTGAATACGGCTCCGACCGCGGCCTAACCCCTGATACTACATTCGACGGCATGCTTTCTTTGGCGGCTAACTCCTGTAAATGCAGAACCCATGAAAACGACGTCGTTTCGAAACCGGACAATGAAAGGATTTCCGATCATCTCCGTCCAATCATCACCAAGAAAGTACAGGAGCCCACAAAGACTCGTCCGAAAAACTCGGCTGAATTATCGGAGAGAAGCGCGTACGGATCACTTTCTGTTAAGCTTGTCAAAGAGGATTTCTTGAGTAGTACTACAAATAATACGGTGAGTCCGGTCAGGCGGAGTTCGCCATCACCAGGGGTGAAGCTCCGTACGAATTCTCCGAGAATAGCGAACCGGCGGATTCAGGGGAGGAAGACCTTGGCGTCGCCGAATTCAAGCTCCGGGTCGAGGCGGAGCGTTACGGCGGCGGCGGAGACATTTGCGGTGGTGAAAACGTCAAAGGATCCACGGCGAGACTTCAGGGAGTCAATGGTGGAGATGATCGTAGAGAATAATTTAAGAGCGTCCAAAGATTTGGAAGAACTGCTGGCGTGCTACCTCTCATTGAATTCCGACGAATATCATGACGTCATCATCAATGTTTTCAAGCAAATCTGGTTTGACTTCGTCCATCTTCGCCTCAAGTAATTAATCTCCTGTACGTGTATTTTTATTTTTCTATAATTTAATTATATGGATGTATATATATATATTATAATATTAATTATTAATATATATATATATATATATATGAGTAATAAGTTCATATATAGTAGTTAATTTTGAAGTTAAATTAATTACCAGATTATGAAATTTTAGTTTTCTATATATTATGTATAATTTATATAATTAATTGGTCCAGGATTGGTCTAAATTGTAATGAAAGGTGAAACAATAAATTCTGCTTCTGCAAAAATAAAATTGGACGGAATATTATTGAGGACTTGTATTTAATTGGTCGAATTGGTGGAATGGAGCATAAAAATCCAGGTGAATTATTATTGTCTGTGTCATCCATCTTTGTGGTGCACACACAATATTGATGAGAGCATATATAAAAGGGTATAGGCGTGAGCCAAATAAAACAACTCCATTAAATCGTTAACGAATAAATTAATCGAAGGTAAGAAAAATTAAAATGACATTGTAATTAGAATGTATAGTTTGTACTTGTGTATGTACAAAGTATTAGTCACGTCCAATTTATGAGCAATATAAAGTAATGGTGGGTGCGGAAGATGTCAAATTATGTTAATGAGGGTTCACTGTTTGTAGGGGGGGGGGACCTTTTGAAAAAGAGGCCCCCCGTCACCAGCAAAACATTTATACGACAAAAATAATAAAAAAATGTTGGATTGTTGTTGACTTGAAAAAGAAATAATGCCTGGAGCTATTAATAATTAATAATTATTATTAATGGTTAGAATGAGTGGGAATTGAATATGGTCAGTGTCGGCGAGCCGCAAGGAGTGACTATATATGCAGTCTGCACTGCACTCTTATTTATTTATATATATATATGATATACCGGCGCTGTGGCTCAAATATAAAATTAAGTCAAAACAAATTACTTTTGGAACACAATCCGCATTTTCAGGGTTTGCTTATCTTTGTCTCGACCTCATTATCATATTTCATCTACTACTTACACATTTTATATTACCATTTTCTCTATATATCACATTATTCACCTCCAAATATTATTTATTTTAGATGGTGTAAACATGGTTTATATTATATGTGAAATTAATACACATAGTAAATCTTTAACATCATTCATAAGAACACAAACACATACACCCACACTGGCGTGTCATATGTGCAGTGTAGATCGACAGTAACTTTCATTGAGTATAGCATAAAAATAAACGTGTAGAGATTTATATTATACTGCACCGAATCCGGTGTATGGGCAGAGTGATTGTTAATGTGGAAGTAGGTAGTAATGTATTGCATAAGTCCGCGCACACGAGTGGCGGCACTTCTATGTCCGTCCATGTGCTCATGTCTTCTTCATCTCTACCCTCTCTAGCTGCTCTTTTTTGTCCTTTATATTACTGCCTTTCTTTTTTCTTTTCTTTTTTTCTTTTTATATAACTAATTAAATGTTATTTTCTAGATTAGCTTTTAGTCAAATGTCACAATACATCCCCATGCATTTCTTTAGTATGATTAGTTAATCATGATTACTACCAAACTACAAACTTATATTCCAAATTGACAGCAATCTATTAGGTAAAACAAGAGTGCTTTTTTTTTTTTTTTAATAATTGTTTTGGCATTTGTCAATCCTATACTCAGTCTATTATAACCAAATATTATTTTTATTAGCATAGAACGTAACCCTTTAAAGATTGAAGGCTTTGCTACTCTAACCATTTATCGTAGTTTTGAAATCATTGCTTTTTTTTCTTTTATTTTTTCTCAAATAATCAACTCAAGATTCGATTGGTGTGATAAATGTGTGTGTGTGTACAAATTGTATTATTTGATTGAATTTGTTGGAATATATGAATGAATAATGCAAGTACAAAAATTGAAACACAAAAATCACAGTTATAGTTGAGTACTTTATTAAAAGATGAAATGAGGTGTTCCTCAACTTGGAAGGTTATTGCGTGGTTCCAATTCATAAAAATCTTGCACGTTGTGTCATTAGATTTTTGTGGGCCAATTGATATCGACCATTCAACTAATTAATTGTGTCATTACATTAACTATTTAGCACTGTAATAAACTAAAGTGTAATCAACCTAATAATCAATTTTCATTCTTCAAATATCTTATCCCTCTGTTACTTTAAGATTTTTCTAAAAAGATATCTTTTTAAATATTGATTTGTACAGAGAAAAAAATGTCTACTAGCGTGCAATATGCCAAATAAACTTTGGCTTAAATTCGTAACTGTGTAGTGTCTATTTTAATCGAGTCCTTGCACTTTCATATCTAGCAAAAAAGATTGAGGACCCATCTCCCAAATTACTTTGCTGAAAAAAAAAAAAAAATTGATTGACACATCCATTTTAACCAATATAAATAAATAATAAATAAAATTAAAAAAACTAGTCAGATCAACGGCTCCCATATTCTCAATAATTCATTACACAATGATTAAACATTGATGAACAATTACTAACTAATCTCCTCATATAACCACCTCCTTGTAATTAAGTATTGTATTTATTTTTTTTCTTATTCATTATTATAGGAGAAACAGAAAGCAAAAGGAAAAGCAACAATCAAAAGGTTTGAGGGTGCATTTGGATGGAAGGATTTGGGGAAGGAATTTCAAATCCATAATAACAAATCCCTCGAACTTGTTTGGATTGAGGGATTTGGAGATGGATTTCAAATCCCCACCCCTCCTTTTTAGTTGATTTTGGAGCAATAGTGATGGATTTCAAATGACTCCAAAATTGGAGTCATTTCAAATCCATTCCCCAAATCAAATCCCTCCCCAAATCCCTCCATCCAAATGGACCCTGAAGTTTTAATGCAAACTTATTAAAAATTAGCAGCAATTAAAACTCATGCAAATATATAAGAAAAAGCGTTATATAGAAACGCGACAACGAGTAGAAAGAAGATCTGGTTTGTGAGGGAAATAATCTTGTCTGATTCACGGACAACTTTCCTAAGATTCGAAGCTGACCACTTCTGTTCTACTGAAAAAGATGGTCTATTTGTCTGTAGAAATGGCTTAAATATTATTTTCCCTTGAGCAGATTTCAATTCTCCATGGCTCCATTCCTGCAACCAAATTTAAAGAAAAAAAAAAAGAGTGAGAGATAATTAATATTTAATTGCGGGAATTTTAATAATTAATAATTAATAATTGCACGTAACATAACCCCACTTGAAATAATATAATTATGCAGGCAGTATCTTAAAGTCCACTTATGTAGGCCCATCCGGCAATCCTACGAATTCATAGTATTAGCCTATTTGACTTATGTAATTAGTTGTCCCAGTGTGGCCCATTTATATATCATAGGCCCAACATATAATTTTAAAAGATTTTTTTTTTTTTTTTCTGAAAGGTTTTAGAAGAATTATTTCAAATCAGGTATATAGTGGAAGTTAGAACGAATTTTCGAATTACGTCGATTCTGATCCAAATATTTTGGATTTCGCAATAGTAGTTTTCATTCGATATTGGTGGATTGTAATTGGAATAATGGATATACAATTCCGATTTCGACCCAACTTTTCTATTCCAAAAACTCGAGCTTATCTAATATTTTCAAGCGGACAATGAAATAATAAAATTCTCACCTGAAGCTCCATCCCTATGGTGACAACAAGTGTTTCGGAGCTAGTGTCGAACGACAAATTTCCGTGGCTCGATTCGAGACAAAATTCACTTGGTTCTAGCAAAAGATGGAGGCTGAGAGAGTATTGGTTTGATTCTTGTTGGATTATCTCCCCAATTACAGATGAACTTCTATCGTTGATGTTAGCTCTATGGTACCTGTAAATGCTCAATGTTGATGTTGATTCTCCTATTTCAACACTCTCTTCAATTTGCTTTCCCACTATTATCTTACCCAATTCTTCCGCCATTCCTTCCAGTTTTCTTCCCACATTCTCCATTTTTTCGCTGCATATAAATATATATATAAATATTATTTTCGGCCTATTTGAGTTTATATTTGACTTATATAAACTCAAATTAAAAAAATAAATAAAATGAAATATGAAATTGGAAATTGGAAATTAATCCGACCAGAAAATGTGATAATTCCGCACGCCGATCGCGGCGGCGGCAGCCTCCTCCATGATGCGGCGGTCGTCGCCGTGCCAAACGATCTTCTCGTGATCGCCGTAGCTGGTGCAGCACTCGACCGTTATCCCGAATATCCTTTCGCTGTTAGCCAAAGCGAATCTCAATTCCTCCGTTGCTATTCCGTGATTACTGATACGGAAAACTCCGAATTCTCTGGCAGATTTCAGCAGCCTTCTCAGCGAATCGCGTTCCCTGAATACGAGCGATTCGTAATTGATTTCCTCTGGTTTGAATTTATTAACGTGTTGAGGAAGTTCAAGTGCCGGAATCTGTGCGCTTTTGTCGATGTAATCGGATAGCAACGGATCTGCCGCCGACCGGGAGCCTCTGGCGGTGGGGATCGGCGACGGCGGCGGCGCCGCCGGTGACGATGTGTAGATCAATCGACTTTTGCGATTGAATTTATTTCTCTCCATCGGAAGATAAATTCAGGTAAAATGATAAGAGGTGAGCTTTGTGTTTAAAGTGAATGGGCTGTGCCGCCGTGGTGGGGGTGCACGTACCAGTCGTCGGAAGCACGTCTATATAATTCATATTTACTGGCGTTGCACTCCTATACTTCATTTTCAAATCTTTTCAATTTTTTGGGCCCGCCCTTTTTGCCCATTTTTAAAAGTAATTTTGTATTTTTGCAGAAGATGAACAATAGGGGAAAATGGCTCCATGAAAATCAGTTTGATCTTGTAAGTTGTAACAGCAATTTGATATTTTATATATTATATTGTATTTCGTCAATTCAATTGTAACGTGTATTAAATTGATAGAATATTTGTGAAATTCGATACCAAACTACAACGGAGAATCCGCGCAGAATGGGAGACAAAACATATATAAATTACAGTACATAGTATTTCAAAGCAAATGTTTATTACATATTTTGTTACAGATGTGTCGCATGTTTGTTTCCAACTGTTCAATCCATGCTCACATAAAACTCCATCACACCAGAGTAAAAGGTTCAAATGTTTCACACCAAACAAAGCACACACTCACAAAAACAATCTTCACACAGAACTATTATTGATTCTTCATGGGAAAAAATCAACCCTCAAACTTCACCATTTAAACCCTCTTTCCTTGGTATATTTTCCTTTACGAGCCTTATTAGTTTTCTTTCGATCAACAGATGGCTCCTGGAAGCCAATCTGCTCAACCGCCCCAACTGTACTGAATAAGCGCTGTTTGTTTATCTCCTCCACAAGTGTCTGATGCAACAATTGGCTTCGTATTTCAACCATCGATCCAGTTCTTACCATTTTCTGCTGGGGTTTTAAATTATAATCCGCCACATTAATATTGCTGCAGTTTCTCGCCATGCTCCCTTCTGGTCCAAACCTTGTGCTTTTCTGTGTCTTTATATTGCGGTTTATAGCTTCTTCTCTGTGTAAGTTATGCGCAAAATCATTCTCATTTGCCGAACAGTACTTCAGATTATGGTACTTGTATGAGCAGGACGAGCTTTGTGAGCTGGCATCATCATCGCCGTTTGTCTCCTCTGCATCAATAATTTCCATAATATATATATTAATTAGAGGGAAATTCAATCCTGAGTACTTCAGAGAAAATATGGATACCTTGAAGCAAATCATGAAGTGAATTTGCTCGGTCAAATTGGAGGTCGTTCAAGGAGAAAAGACATGGGAGGGAAACCTCAGAGGAGGATAAGGATGATGTGGCATAAAAAGGGTGTTGGGGGGTATTATCGTCATTATCATCGTCGCCGTAGTTGAAACTCTGCTGCGGGTGCATTTGAGAAGAGATGGAATCCTTCCACGACGGGACCAAATTCGAAATTTCTTCGTCAATCATATTAGCAATCTCGTCTGCCTCCCATTCTTTTATTTCCAATTCCTTCACCATTTCTGTAGCAACATCCAACGGGGTATCGCTCGTTATATCGAACGGAAAGTCGATGTTTATACCAGGACCTGAAATTTCCATCACTGTTAGTGATCGAATCTTTTCTTTATTTAATTTTACTTATTACAATAATTGATTCATACCGTTTTCATCAGAAATCTGTACTTTGAGAAAGATGGCATCATCTTCTGGATTCATAGTCCCCGTGATTGTCATATCAATGCTCTTCGAGATTTTTTTGGTAGCAGGGGATTTTGGTGCCTCTTCTATTGAAAGAAACGGATCCATCAAAAGCTCACGAGCAGATGGTCTGTCAGGAGCTTTCATCAAACACCTTCCCACAAATCTACGAGCTTCTTCATCTTCGATGTCGTAAAATAACTCTGGCAGTTTTCCCTATTCTCAAGAAGAACGAAATTATGGTCCCGTATGTTTGTTATGCATGGAAAAATTTCACGAGTTTTTAAACGAATTATCCAAATCTTACCGAGGTGACTTTCTTGTAAATTTGAGCAGCATTAGAGCACTCACTGTACGGATACTCAGAAGTAAGCATCTCCATAACACACATGCCGAAGGAGTAAATGTCCACTAACTCATCATAGTCTTCTTCGTATAACTCAGGTGCCATAAATTCAGGTGTGCCTGATGAAAAAAATAAATCATGTTCTTTATTTAGTATAATTATCTTTACTTAAATTAAAAAATCATAAGAGACAGAGCTGAGTGTGTTGCCTATGACACTGTGGGCATGGTGTGAACCACGAAGTATAGCTGCTAATCCCAGATCACCGATTTTAACCTGTCCAAGATGGCCATTGACGAAGATATTGTCACACTTCAAATCCCGATGAATCACTGGAGGGTCGTGACCATGCAAATAATCAAGACCCTCCAAAATTTGGCGGGCCCAATCCTTAACCGCTCGAATACTCACTCGCTTGTACTTCTTCCGATACCTGTTGAGCGTTTACCTCATCTTTAGCTATAGATTTTTTTCTTACAGAACAAGACAAAAATCAAATGTGCAGATAATGAGTTTATGACATTACTCTCTTAGGTTGCCGGATGTGAACATTTCGGTGATGAAGTTGAGAGTTCTTCGTTCAACATCGATCCATGAAGTACGGAATTTCATTATAGAGTCGTGATTAAGATTCTTGAGGAGGAGAACCTCAGAGTAAAGCCTCTGCAGCTCATCGGGTGACCTAAAGGCATCGTCGAGTTTCACCCGATTCCAAGCAACTTCTGTTCCAAGAAACTCGTCAAATGCTCTGTACACAGTCTTTGTTGCTCCTTTTCCAAGAACATCTTTGAACTGCAACGATGTAACAAACAAAGATTGCGGTCCATAAATAGATTATTAACCACGATGAGTGGAAAAACAATAATAAGATCTGTTGTATTCATCCCTCTTCCTTTTCAATTATATCCAGCAAGAAGGGGATTAAGTTTTCCCAGAAAAAAAAAACATATAATCCAATACATGAAACTATTTTATTTGTTGAACTGTTTAGTTCAAGCAACTTGTCTTTACATATGTGACCATGAGCAAGTAAATATTTTTCAATTAGTGTATTTGGTGAATATTTAACATATATAATAACAATTCTCACCAACTAAAAAAGAAAGGTGCATGCACATGAACAACTTGTCCTTAATTTTAATTATTCTACCACCACCAACTTCATCTATAATCTATTAACTCCTAAAAGTCAATACATGGAAGGAATCATAAACCAGACAAACACATTTGATCAAATTTAAATGATCAACACACAAAAAACAAAAGACATTCCAAAAGCAACTACAATTAAATCCATAAATTCAGAAAAAAATATTAAAAATGAAAAGCTTGTAATTGCAGGAAAATCAAACGATACATAGATTAGAAAACTTACGCGACCGTATCGTTCGGATGGATCCATTTCCACGTACAACTGCGCATTTCCTCCATCAACAATGGCTTCCCCAACGATTGTATTTTTCATGATTGAATAAAACCAACTCAGATATATAAATTTACTTCTCCTAATTAAAATAGATTTACTACTTCACACACACTTGAGCAGAACAGAAATTAAAAACTGGAAAATTAATTCAGCTGCAAACGGAAGGAGAAAACAGATGCTAAAAAATCCGAGGTTTTCCTTCGTGATTTTCATATGAAAAGAGGCCAAACAAAAGCCAGAAAAGCCTTGAATAATCAATCCTGAGCATAATCCAAGCCATTCCCCCAACTTCACGTGAGAACTCGTACTCCCGAGAAATCATTTGATTCGAACAATTACAGAAATACAGCCCACAATTATATATATATTTATATATATAGGAGTGATGAAAACAAACAGAAATTCAATTTTCTTTGCTTCGGAAAGAAATTGGGGTTCTGAATTTGAAAAATTTGTGGCGCCGTTTTGGTAGCATCGTTTGTGGCTAACAATGGAGATTCCTCTGTAGATTTTCGAGATTGAAGAAGAGGAATTCGAAAAACAATGGGTCAAATAAACACAGAGTAAATAGAAATGAGAGAGTTTTTTTTGGAGGGCTTTCAGTAGGCCCGAAGGGTTGATGGGGGGTTCATTTTATATGACAAGTTTCCATTTTTTATTATTATTTTTATTTATTTATTTATAATTGGGGTACATAAAATTAAAAACTGGCTTAAATGGACAAAGTCAGATTAATCATAATTAATTTTCATAATTAACGAGCGTTGTGCGCCACCTTGGCATTTGATGGTGTTTTTAAGTGATCAATAATTGAGATTTGAAAACCTGGATTATAATGGAGGACACTGTAGATATAATTTGTATGAAATAGTTGACAATTCACCAACTAAATGACACTTGATTTTCTTTTTTAATTTTAATTTTTTTTTGTAGGACAGAAGATCCAACGTTGGATTTAGGGAGCTGATTAACAACTCTTATTATTCATTGTCAACTATGATTATCTTATTATATTTGACGTTAATTTTAATTTTATTTTATTTTTTTAAATCCAAAAGCATAACCTTGAAATTGCAATAAACATATTAATTAAAATACCAACAAGGGTTTATCCAACCAATATCTTATTATCCCCGACTTGTTCATTTTGAGGATAGAGATAATCGACAATTAATTTATACCATTATATCAATGTGTCAATAATTGATAGTAAGAATCGGGATTATATAGGATTAATTAATGAATTATGAAACGCACATCGAAATGGACAAAGGGATTGTATTAAAAAAAAAAAAAAAAATAATAATAATAATAATTACCAGATTTCGTATGCAAATTTTGGAATTTCAATCGTTACCATTTTAATATGAATTAATTGGCATTATTTTAATCGGTGTCATTATTTTCTACAGGTTGTGGAGTCACTTTTGTTGCTCGGACCCAAATCACAAATGAAGTTTGCATTTGTAAAATATACAAAAAAATGATGCAACAGATAAAATATAGCAACAATACAATATGTCATCATCGACACTATAAATAGCAATTTGTTTCTAAATTTTCATCACGATGACAACGACTGGCCACCAATAATGTACACGAACAATATACAATTAAATTAAATAATTTTCAGAAATGAAATACTACAATTTTTTGCAAGAGAAAATTCAAATTGCAACTATCATTAAGCAACAAGAGAATATTCATTCTCTTTACATTACATTTGACATCTTCAACATCATTTATCATGACTAAGCTACACAACTTTATCATCGTTCTAACAAAAAAAAGAAAAAACGAAAAACAAAAATTCGGTCAAGAATGTAACATCCTATGCAAATCTCACATTCATCCTATGCTCTGCCAAACGAGGACAAAGTTGCCACAATATGCAGATACAACAACACAAAACCTCTTTGAAGTTAAATCAGTTTCGAAAAAAAAAATATATTATAAGTTTCGAGTATTTTTTTTCATAAGCAGCTGAGAAGCCACAGAAGCAGAAGCCGCCTCGGGCTTTTACTGGTTCAGAAGAAAATCCGTTTTTGTTCGTCTTCACTCTTCATTCACGAGTGACTAAATAACAACAGTCTTGTAATAAAGTTACCGCTTTTCAGAATTCAGACAGGCAATGGTGGGAAATCTTCCTCATCCTTCAGTATGTACGAAGACCTCAACGAAATCCTACATGTTCAGACCACGCAAATTGCTCAACCAAAGTCGGGTTTTTTTTTTGTATGTTAAATATTTATTCAGGGGATTCTCTTTTTTTTTTTTTTTTGTGTGTTTACCTATCCTGCTCCCTGCTAAAAGGAGGCTGTGGCCTTTGCATGCCTGAGAATGTTCTAGGCGAAGAAGAGGCGGGCCCGCTGTTTTCCAGTCCACATTCATCTATATCCGCCTCTGGTTGTACGTACAAGCCATTCCCATTATGAGGAGAAAACGACATCACATCGTTCTCGATAGGGACTTGATTTTGTTGTGATACTTCATTGTTGCTTCTGTCGAGCATATTCCCCTCCATAAATATCATGCTCCGCCCGTCCATATGTGGGGCCCTCGTTGCTGCTACCTGATTCCTTCCATTCATCGACGAAGACCTATAACCTAGTGGAGGTTGATTCTGCAAAATAATAAATATAAAAATAAAACGCTAAACTAATGACAACAGCTTAAAAAGAAATTAAGACAGCACCGTAGGTCCATAAATAGCGTACCATGTTTGGAAAATAAGTTCCTGTTCCTCTGGCTTTCGACGCGTCATCCCACCCAAATGTGACACCTGGCATTAACACAGGTGGCGGCACGGGGTACAATGCCGGTGGAATTGGAAGGAAGCCATTATGGAGCCGATGAGAAAACCCGTTATGTTTATAATGCGAGAGAGGGGCAATACCGTCCAGAAAAATGTTGCCTTGAAACGGGACAGTTGTTGGCAATGGAGGAGGCATGGGCAGAGAATGAATACCTAATCCGTGCTCATAGCACCATCTGCCGTACTGTAAGAACTTCAAGTAAGTCTCGTAATCACCAGTCAGATCTGACAACGAGCTCGGTGATTCAGTTGTCTCTCTCCTATTTGCCGACGAGCCTTGCCCTGGATTTGTTTGATTTGTAGCCCAAAATACATCCGTGTTTTTATCTTTATCAACGAATCCTTCATCGGATTCAGACAAGACAAAAGAAGAAGAATCGATCTTGTCTGAATTTGCATTGCGATTACGCAATCTGGATTCGGCGAAATAGAGGTGCGGCGCAAAAAAGGGCTTCGCAGCTGGAGTATCTGATATTTTCAGGGCAGCAAGATCGAGTGGCTCTCTACTTGGAGCATCCGGTACTTTTTTTTCCGCCCCGTTGAGTAATTCAAAGTTTTCGACTTTGTGCAGCCAACTCTCTGGAACAGGTGCAGTAGGGACTGGGATGGCACTGTTGTAAATAATCGCAGGGTCGAGGTCGAAATCGTGAATATCGTGCCTCAGTCCATCTCCATGCCTAGCTATGGTGTTTGAGAAGAACTTGTGGAGCTCGACCGAAATCGAGTCATCTGACTGCACAAGTATTCGTGCCAGTTTTCTTGCCCCGTAAGAGAATGCACTACGTATGCGATAGAAGTTCCCTAAAACAGAACAAAACAACCACTAAATTTGAATGCCAAAACTTTAATGAACAGGAAATTAAAAAAAAGGACAAAAAAAAAGGTTGTACCTTTGCTAATACTACGTCCGAGATTATTGCTTTCTTTTAGAGGATCGACTATGTTGAGATGCTTCGTCTGAAACCCTCGCGAGTTTTTGTCGTTGCCTCTACAAGGAACTGAAAACATGCCAACGCAAGAACTTAAGAAATCACTGCTTAGCAGTAAATCTCCGTCGCTATCTTCTGGCATCTCAGCTGAAAAATATTATAATAAACATTTAGATTTCACAATCATAATAACATCTTAATTATGAGATTCCAAATCAAGAATGGTGCTTTTTACCAATAATAGCCGGCAATGAAGAGAGTCGAATAGGGCCGTTTAAGCTGATACAGTAGGTATCCCAATCGAATTTGCTGAAGTAGTCCAGAAATTTATATAAAACCTACAAATGAAAAGATTTCGTCGTTAGGTTTATTTTGTCGAAGCAATTTGAAGAAATGGAAATTTTATTTATTTAAACTCACAGCTAAAGGACCGTCTAATGTTGAGTGAAAATGATGGAAAATGTACAACACGAGTGTCTCCAACGCATAGGTGGAAATCAAGCCATGGTGGGCGCCGAGAATACGGCTTTCGTAATAGCACCATGCCTTGATTAGTATAATGCTGCGCTTAAACAGATGATCTCTGCCTATAACGCGGTCAACCTAAAACATAAATTAACAAAAGAAATAATAAAATATTATTTTACGAAACATCCAGTTCATGCAAGAGGTGAAAAAATAAAATTAGGAAGCATATTGCATTGTAGAGATAGATGTTGCATCAAGTTAATACTTCATCGTTAGAATGGGAAATATTTATACAAAAAGTTTATGCAAGTGTGAATAAGTAACACTAAACTAGAGTTTCCGTAAAAACAACATAAATTAGAATATATATGTACCATAATAGTGCATTGATCGACCAACAAGAACGAAAAATATTAGAGTGGATACGGTAAATCATATAGTAATTGCATGGCAAAAAAGCTACGTACAATTTTCACGTAGGTTAAATATACATTAATTAATATAACATAATTTCACTACTCGAAGAAAAATTAAACCACAAAAGTCAGATATATCATGCTTCAACAAATAGAGTATCACCGCATTAATAAAAAAACAAAAAATAACAGGATGCAACATAATCATATGAATAATTAGTTTAGAATAAAAGTTACCTGCTCGAGAAAGCATAAAGTACAAAGACCCCCAATTTGATTAAATGATACATCAACAACAATATCTTGAATGATACATTTCACTAGCTTAACCTGCCACATACATAAGAACCCTGTCTCAGTAAAAAATTCATAAACTTGCGCAAAATTTCAAACGGTACGTGCAAAAAACCTTTAAACAAACAATTACTACATTTCTTTAATCATTAATAACAACGATGATTGATTACCTCAGCACGAATAAGCTGGACATCCTTTACAACAAACTCAGCACCCATGTTTCTCTCTTCTTCTTCGAGTACTGATTTCATATCGTCGGCCAATGTATCTTCGAAATTTGCACCACCAAAGGCAGTCAAATCAATGTCTCCATCCGGAAGATAAGTTTTCAGTGGCACCGACCCATACGGGATTACCTGCAAAAAGTTTTAAACATTTACTTCAACAAATATTAAGGTACCTTAATCGGATAAAGAAAGGCAGATACAACAAGCATCGGATACTTCTTAGGTTCTTACATGAATATACATATGCTCATGGATCAAGAATTTAACTGTGGGACAAGAAACATTAAAAAACATGACACAAACGAACATCATAAATAACGAAAGTACAAAGATCACAAGGCAATATGTTCTATACATTGTTTCAATTAGACCACATCTCTTTAATAGATCAGCCGTGTAACTCGCAATAGCAGCAGAGACAAATCAAAGAAGATAGATAAACAATAAATAAACATACGCCAAAGATACGAATTTAGAAGAGCCTTAAAACAGACAAGGATGTACCATATCATATTAATGACACCTTTCCCCGATTACCTCGATAACAAATTCACGTATCCAGATCAAAGACGCGTGGACAAATTCGACGGAGCATTTAAAAAAAATATTAAATGCAACTTGAAAATCGATTTACTTCCTAAATATCAAACATCCCACATTACTCGCATCTTTTACACGCGTCGAAAAAAACAACCTTTCATCTCGTTGTACGGACATTCTTCCATTTGGACGATGTCCGTCATTTAATCAAACACATTTAATTGATCAAAAAATAATTTACCATAAAGATATCATTGCATTCGAAGCAAATGATATCCATGCATGCAATGAAAACATAAAAAACTAGCTACTTGCAGACTAAAAATGACAAAAAAACACTGATCTGTGCTACAGATAAACTAAGAGACACAGTCTCCAATCTCAAATAAATCATCAACCCACTGTACACATAGAATCTGCAGATATAATTAATTAATCAAGGAGAGTAAATCTGATTAAAAAAAAAAAAAGACATGAAAGCAGAGGATTATCACCTCAGCGCCAAGAAAATTCCTGATTAATCTCTGAATGTAATAAATGACCGCTTTTCTCTTCTCTTCCGATACAGGGGTGGGTTGAACCTTCCGGATTATTTCAAGGGTCGCTCTGTCAGCGGCGGCCCAATTTTCCGTTCCAATCCCAAATGGGTTTGGCTCCGCCGTTGCACCGCCCTCCGGAAGATCACCCATTTTAATTTATTTATTACCGAAAAAAAACCCCAGTTAACTCAATCCCTTTTTTTTCACTTCAATTATTCATACACAGAATAACTAAAAAATAAACATCACGGACCAATAACACCATTCATCAGAAAACACGGAATTAGATTGGAAAAAAAAAAATCCTAACAAAAAAAAAACGCAAAGAAAGATGCTATCTTTTTCCTCACTTTGCGCTGAAAATGGGAAAAAGGGATAGGGCAAAAGGCGAAAGAACAAATTGAAGGAGTTTTTGCGAAGAGTTTAAGGAAAAACAGGAGTGATGAGTTAGAACAGGTGTTTATGATTTTAATTTATTCGTGTTGGTTTAGGTTTGAAGCAGGAACAAAAAAAACCAGCATAAATACGCAAAATCTGTGAATTCCCGGTTGGATTTTGTGTGTATAATTGAGTATCGAATGACATAAATATACCCCTACCAACTGCAGATCATTGTTATACAATTACAGCAAATTTCATGAATTTTTTGACCGCCGATTACGCTGCTCTTATTCTCTTTTCCTCTTTTCTTTTCTACGTCATAAATTTTTAAATTATCGCAATTTTACTGTTTTTACTAACCCTAGTTAAAAAAAAGGGGCCCCGGCTTTTTTCACCTACCATACTAATAAATTCACTCCTTCAATCGCATTAATCTATTCTTTATATTTTGCTTATCTTCAACTTTTATTATTTATTTATTTGGATTTTCTTTTTCTTTTTTCCAAGGATAAAAAAGATGATAAGGGATGAATAAATGACGTCATGGTCATTTTTGTAAAATTGGATAGTTGCGTTAAGGATTTTTTGGTTCACACTTGTCAAAATAAGAATTAAAAAAAAATTGAAATTATTTAGCCCTTTTGTTTGAATGTCTCCAGCAAGTGTTGGTGGTTGGCTTTTATTCATCTTTATTATTAGTAAAAATAAATAAAAACTATGCTACGATAATTAGGTTGAATACTTAAATTGGTGATAGTACTTTCACAAGGGAAAAAGACCAAATTGACTTTGACTTCTTTTGGACAACTTTTTTAGATTTAATTTGGATGGTAGAATTTGGAAAGAGATTTCAAATCACTATTAAATAATTATAATAAAAAACTCAAAATGGAGAAATGTTGTGATTTTTTGTTGCAAATTAGATTCATTATAGTAAGGTATCTAGATTCGTCACGATTAAATAAGAGACAGTGATTTGAAATTCGTCTTCAATTAGATTCATGACGTAGAAGTTTTTTGTCGAAGTTCACATGCAAATTAAAGCATTGTGGAATTATCAATGTATATTTTTTGGTCGATCCTCGACTTGGAATCAAGTTGATTATGAAATGGAAATAAAAAAAATCTAAAAATGGTATGAATTTTTTAATGAATGTGGTAAAGTGGGATGTATTTAGGAAGATAAAGTGATATGTATATAGGTGAATATACCTAAAGGTAAAAAGGAGAAAATATAAGAAATTTTGCGTGAATATGTTGTATTATAATACAAAGTGTATGCATCTTATTCCACTTTGGGTGTGCTATAATATACTTGTAGGCCACATCACTAAGGCACAAATTTTAGGCAAGGTTTTCTAAGCCCAATAATTAATGGGCCACATTATTAATTATGGGCCCTTTATTAAAGAAGATTTACGAAATGAAATTAGGTCGTTTGGTATAATCTGCATTTTGGTTACTTTTGGAGCGTGTTTGGCCGAGCTTAAAATATGTTAAAATGAACTTATAAAATGTTTTAGAGTTTATAAGTTTTTCTTAAGTGTTTGATAATTTTTTGAAAAAAAATCTTAATTTTTTTTAAACAATCTTCTGGAGAGCAAATAAGATGTTTTAAATAAATACATATACCCCACATTTTTATTTAAAATCTTATAATGAGTAAAAATAGAAAATAAACTTATCATCCAAACACTCTAAAAATTAACCCTAAAAATAAGATGTAACAACTTATCAGCTCTTAAAACATCTTATCTGACGTAAGAGCTTGTCAGCTGTTTAAAATAAATTTAGCCGAACACCGTCTTAATCTAACTATTTAAGTAGTTGATTAAGGAGGTTTGAAATGAGACAATTTGATTATTCACACTCTTTTGCTTCATTAATTCGATCACTCAAACATATTAACCTTTTCTTTTTATTTCATTCGAACTATACTTTCTTGTTTCAATATATCGATGAAAATTACATCAACAAGTCTTGAAATACTAAAGTGCGTACAATAATAAGATGGTATTTGCAAAAGGGTTTGGAAAATAGAATCTGAATTTATAATCGGTATTTAGTGTTTGCAAAATCAATTTTTAATTTTGTTTGTTTTAGAATAAGTACACTTCCATTTTCCAATTGAAAGAAGTCAGGGGCAATAACGGGATTCCAGTAGGATATTGCTCTGACCAAAAGTGAATTAGGATGATTGATGGTCAATTGGAAATGTTTTAACAAGTTCATACATCCGAGCTACTAGCCATCGGCGACTGAGCGAATTCATGGAGGGAAGCTACAGAACTACCACTCTAATGGTGGCGGTGCTTCTGCTGGTACTGAGTTCGTTATTACCGAGTTCGCTCGCTTATCGACCCGGTGACATCGTTCCCATGAGCCGCATGGGGCAATATCATTCTGTAATCGTCTCTCTCTTACATATGAATTTGGTGTTTGATCCTTTCATTGTTTCAATTATCAATTGATCCGTTTTTATTTTCATGTAAATTTGGAAAAATTGCAGACGAGGACCGTTTGGCATGATATGATCGGCAGGCATTGCCCAATCTTCGCTGTTAATCGCGAGGTCATTTAATTTAGGGTTTAGGGTTTTTTGATTTTAGGAATCCTTGTTTCCAATACTAATTTCCGGTTCATTTTGGTGTGCAGTCATTGATTCCGATACCGAAACCCACTGGATATACTGGATCAGATCCCTACAAAATGTAGTGTTCCTCTCGTTTTATTGTTTGTTTTTAGAATTGTTATGATATCAATTATCAAATAGTTTGAATGTGCCTGAATAAAACTGTCATCTGAAAGAGATATTTAGCAAATGAATCTTTGTTCTATTAATTGACGAAGCTTGTTTTGGGGGAAAACTGCTGGCCAGTGCAATAATGATGTTTCCGTAGTTTTGGACCAAGAATTTCTTGGTGGATACCAATTATGTGCCTTTCCTGTTCTCATCTTGATATTTATAGTACTTTGATGAATCATTATAATTATACCTAGAATGGTTGGGGTGCAGATCATTTCAAGTTGGACAAGAAAAGTTCTATATTCCTTGGCTTTTTGTGATCAACAGGAAGAGTACTGAGGTCCCAATGATTGAGATACATTTGGTAAGTTCCGGTTATGACAGTAATGTTGTTCATATGTTGTGAGTTCTAAATTCAATGCCCTTTATATGGTTTTTATTGGATATTGGAGAGGGGAGCATGATGGGGTTGAAAATGCTTAGCTTAAGTATTAAATGATGTTATGTTATGTTTTATATTATGGCTCCAATTCTTTGTCGAATCCTGAGATTTTCAGAGTTATTATGTTTTAGTCTAGCTCAGTGACTGATGAGCTAGAGTATATTAACATTTATTTATGAGATGATATAGGTTGGTTTTTTATGCTAATGGAGTTTTATGCTTCTTTTCCAGAGGTACTCGGGTGCTGATTTGCTTGGTGTCACTGCAAAAGTTGTAGATATGCCCAATAACTGTATGACATTCTTTATAACATAGATTCTTTATTACTGAAATTTAAACCTTTGAAATATCCCTGTTGAGATTGATTATTCTTGTAACTTATAAATGTAAACATGCAAGGACTACTATAATTCTGGAATCCTCATTTTTTAGAAATTCTATATTCTTGCGCCGTATCCCTGTTGATGACATATTTTGTCGTTTGTTTCTAATCATAATTTCCTACATTACTTCAAATCCTTACCTAAAATACATGGTGACAAAATATGTCCTGTGTCAGTTGTATCCAAAAGTTTTGATGTGCTACATTCGGGCCTCACTCACATCTAGCCTGAGTTAGAGTGTCTGCTATTCTTAGGATTGTGGGTCATGCCTTTCGAGTTTTTTCTCATCGGTTCTTTGTATCAAACAGATGTAGAACTTCATCCAGATATCCGTAAACAATTTTGGGATCAAGAACAATGGCCAAAGCATATTCTTGTCAGATACACATGGTAAGTTGCTATCTCTGTCTTTTGGCTATTTTCCAGAACTTTATTGTTTATAGTTTGGATAAGTGAACTGTACTCTTGTTTGTAGTATCCATGATAGTTAAAGGTTTTTTTTACGACTGATTTGTTGTTGCTACTATGTATAACATTTTACAACATGTATTTCTTCTTACTAACAGGGAGGAACAGTCAGAAATAGATGTGGTTTCTGGATTTTACGTTCTCTTTGGATCAGGTGATTTATATTCCCTTTGAAATAATTAATGAACTGACAAGACACTCACATTAAGATTTTTCGCTGCATTTTGTTTTTTTGTTAATTCCTTTGATGAGCATTTACCGTTGCATTTTTTGTATAAGTGGAATTTGATATCATATTTCTAATATATGTTTTTCAATTGTGTTCATAACCAGGGTTAACGCTGTCCTTCGTTCTCGCAATGTATGTTTTACAGTCATCTCGAGACAAATTGGCAAAGTATTACTTCTATCCAACATAACTCATGCTTAATTATCTAGCTAGTTATTATTCAATCATTAATGAAATATGTATGTTGCTACTTTTCAGGTTTGTGAAGGAGACAGTTGCTGACAGCAGCATGTCTGCTGGAGGTGTTGCCAAAGTCGAATGATCCTTTCTTGAAAAATAAGGTGCTATTTTCATGTTTGTGCAACTTGCCAATTAGCATGCAAAAGAATCGGTGTTGGCACTGGGTGACTTCGGAACTGGCAGAAATGTGTCATTTTGAAGCTGCCTAGGGTTGCTGCTAAAGGCAATGTGGACTAAATTTCACATTTTCTTTCCTCATATATAGTATAGATAAAGTGAGTTAATCGGGGTTTAAAGAATGTCAGTTCATGTTTCCTAGACCTATTTTTGGGTGATTTCCCATTTAAACTATATTCTTCTCTTTCTCGTCGTGCTGAATTCTCTATTCATTCGTTCTACTAATTTAGTTTTAGTTCAAATAGTTGTTGCTTACATGATACATCTGTTAAAAAACCTTGTCTCTGTATCAGGTTATTTGTGTAAAAAGTATTTCAAAAGATATGGAGTATAAATGGACATCTCTTGACAACTTGATGCTGCAATTAATTTATTTGTCTCTCTCTTTTTGTTGCTAATAATTCGGTGTTCAAATGAATAGGCAAACCTTCCATAAAATAAAATAAATCCATAAAATTCGGTGTTCAAGATGAAAGCCCATAAACTTCTCCATAAAATAAATAAATCTTTTGGGGCCAACGTAACTCCTCACAGTTCATCATTCGGGACCAAAATTAATATATAAGAAAAACTTTTAGCACGTAAATAACTCCACACAAGTACATGTAGATAATCCAGTACTATGTTTATTATATATATATATATATATATATATATATATATATATATATATATATATATATATATATATATATATATATATATATTTATTGAGTATTCATTCCCCTAACCCATACTCTCGTGCTCTTCTTTAATCCTTTTTGCTTTTACATTTCGAGTTAGACAATGTCTAGTGTGTTGAATTAAAATGGAAATATCTTTTGTTTTTTAATTGCTTCAGCCTTCATTGAAAAAGATTAATTAGTGATGACCCACTATGATTATTAATTAGTGGAATTTAATTAAGAACAATATCTTGTTGGATGTGTGATGGTAATTGGGGTACTACAGGTTAATCAGGTCCCCACTATACACAATACTCTCTACAATTATACAATGAATGTAAATGATGAACTTATAATTAATTAAGTTCAACTTAATTAATTAATAAAATTTTATAATTAATTAATTAACTTAATTAGTAACTTCAACTTATGTCCGAGTTGAAGGACTCTAGTAGGGCACAAGGGTATTAGTAGGGCTAGGGGGAGACAACGGTCTTTTACAGATGCTACACGAGTGTAGCATAGAACAAATCGGAGATTATTCATCGTCTGTAATAATTCAACTCCAGCCCAGGTATGGGATCTCATAATTTAATTAGCACTTCAAATTTCACTAATTAATAATCAGATAGCTAGTATATAAGTTAAAGATGGACAGAATAAATAATAGAAAAGCCCTTGCAATTATAAGCAGCAAATTAAAAAAACTGATCACAAATTTAATTTGGCCATTAAAAGAAATTAAAGGTCATCTAAGTACACCAAGTTGATGGTTTAATTATAAGGATAAATTAAGCAAAAACAATAAAAGGGATATTAATATGGGAATGATGAACAGTGAAGCTCCTGACTGCATGTGGTGAATGCCTAATTGGTTTACTAAAGTATCTTTGCACGACCGATAATTAATCGATAACTAGAGTTTGGATTAGCGATTTTAATGTGTGGATATCATCATTATTGTTCGACTCTTCACACAACCCATAAAGCACACTTCAATTGTTTTAGCCCTTCACAAGTACTTAAGGATGTTTTTATTAAAGTTGCTATGCTAGTGAACATATTTTATTTTCCGGAATAAACAAATTTCTCTTGCACAGTAATTAAAGAATGTTTGATTTAAGTACTTAAACATATTAATATATACTACCCAACCTCAATATATATAATGGTGATTGAGCAAAATATCTCTTGTACATATATTCCTAGCTCTGACAAATCTTCCTTAATATATGTAAGCAAAAACCTGTTGCTTGATTTATAACGAGTATAAAATACAGTCAACTAGTGCTAATTTACGAGTAATACCTTCAACAACAAATCGTGCTCGATCTAAAGCAAAAACCCTTTTCGTACGAGAATGTTTAAATTAAAGTGAAGCACGCATAAGATATTATTTAATTAGCTTGTACAAGTAGAAATAATTAAAAATATGTAGCAATTTTCCCAAATTGTTTGAAAATGAACCACCTTATAAGCCTTCGCATGGATTCTAAATAAGTCATTATCCCTTTAATTAGCTTAAAAAAAAACCTAATTAAGTTATTAAGAAAAAACAGTGTTCTTGATCAGTTATATATTATTTTCTTCTTTTTTTTGGTTTAGATTATTTTGTAATGCAGAGAGTGAAGCAGTGACATGGCAGTTTAGTTTGTGATTGGCCATGAACTGAAACATTTTGCACTTTTTAAGTGCTTTGCTTTTGGCTTTTACTATACATATATATGTGTGTGTGTGTGTGTGTGTGTGTGTGTGTGTGTGTGTGTGTGTGTGTGTGTGTGTGTGTGTGTGTGTGTGTGTGTGTGTGTGTGTGTATGTATGTATAGTATTTTAGGAATAATGACTTTTTCCCCCGGATTTTCGGCCAACTATTAGGGTTATATGGTTTGACATCCATGAGTACAAGTACCAATAATTTGCTGGATTAGGTGCTGTCAAATTACTAATTTAAAATCAATTTTAACCTCAATTTTTGATTAATTGGAAATTGGAATTGAAGGGTAATGTGTGTAATGATCCAACCTACCATGTAAGGTAAAAGTAAGAAAACCAAAAGCAATCTTTGAAAACATAATAGGAAGCAACTTTTTTGTATGTCTTAATCAATTATACTATATATAATGTAAGTAAATAAAAAATTAATTATAATTACTAGCACCAATTATTCATTTTTTTAATTAAATAGTTTGCTGTTTTTGATGCTCTCCATCAATGATGGCTCGCCTTCCATTTTGTTATCTCTTTTGTGTACAATTAATCACAATATTTGAAGTAATGTTAGCCAAGGACAGGACCATTATGTACGAAAAAGCATATTAATTATGTTGTGACATTGAATTAGTACATTCATTTGAGTTTTAAGCCCTACTAATTAACTTTTAGATAAGCTTTAACTTCTATTTAAAAAAAAAAACTTAAGTTAAAGTTTATGATCAATTATTGCACCAACCGTGTACTACTGATTCACTTCATATGCAGTTCATATCTTTGGAAGAGATAAAAAAAAAAAAGATTAAAGAAAGACTCACACGCACAAACATGAATTAATTAGAGATATGATGATCATTTTGGGAACTAGCTTATAAATTAGTAATTAATTAAAGAATATTTTTAGTTTTACAAGAAACAATAATGATTAAGTAGTGAACAAGCTTCATGCAAGGATTGTCTCCCCTAGCTACATATATGTGCAATACAATACTTTATTTATTTAATTTTTGCATATTCTTTGTTTAGCAATATAACAGATGACCCAAACTTTTTACTTCATTGATCCATCTTATTAACAGAAAAAGAAAAAAAAAAGAAAAAAAAAGGAGAGTAAAAGGCAATATATAATTAAAGAAATGAGATCCAACTGGAAAAATAAAAATAAAAATATAGTGTAGTGATTGACTAAAAGCGAAAGAAAGAAGAAATAATAGCCCCCAAATTAAACACCAGCAAAGCATTCAAGTCCACGTACTCAAATCAAGGCCTAAGCATATACTAATTACTATATATATATATATAGTTGCTGTATTATCTCTCTCTAGCTCTTCATTCTCTCTCTTCATTCTCTCTCTCTCTCTCTCTATATATATATATAGTGTATTATCGTAGTATATCACAGCCAATGCATATGCATATTGGTGTTTCGATGTCATGGCCGTGGAACTGCAGACTGATGATGTTTTACTCCAGATATGAAAACAAGACACTGTTTTCAAGTCATTAAGGTAATTAGCCTATCTCATAAAACTTTGTTTGATCGATTTCAGTACGAGAAATTAAGTATAATTGTCCATTCCACATCCGCCGGCGACCCATTTCTCTTACATTTTTCATTTTTGTAATTAACAGTCATGTGTAAAATGAGCGAAACTCGAGAATTCCAACTTCATAGCCTTGGTGGTGTTAGAGACGGTGAGATCAATATCGATGAAACCTGCAATGAAGAAACCAGCAATAAATTAAGAGAAGACGAAAGAAATAGATCATTTTGCAATTTCTTTCCACGAGTGCCCCTCAATGAGGTATATATTTTCTTCTTCTTCATTTTTCTTTTGTTTTGCGGGCGAGCATGAATTATTGTTTCGTTTACATATATAATGTCACAGAAATTACTTGCATATATAGCAGCCTTTTTTTAATTTTCTGAACTTGGTTGCCACAAAGGTGCATGAGTAAAACTTCTACTTCAAAAGTAACCTTTTTTTAGTACAAAAGGTTATGTACATTCTCCAATCAACGTGTGTCGTCCGATTTCAATTTCTTGTGAAAAAATATGTATGCTCAATTTTCCTAGCTTCTCTTTTTTGCCACATTGTTTATTGCATGTTGTTATTTTTTTCCCAATTATATTGTACAGAAGAACATTGGCTGTAAAGAAAAAAACAACCATCCTTCATTTCATGCCACGGTTTACTACTTGCTTTTAGTGCTATAATTATATATATATATATATATATCGTTTTAAATCAGATTCATCTTTTGACTTTCTCATTGACGATCAAATAAACCATGGTTTGTGGGTCGTAAAGTCAAACTAAAAACCTATTTCAGGAACTACCTTTAAAAATTATATATATATAGTTTCCATTTGAGTGTTTCTTGATGTTATTCTCTATTTTCTATTAATATAATAATGTACTTTAATTCGCCGTCCTTTTCAATGCAAATCTCTTGTGCCTCTCTTGAAGCCATGCTAATAATGTTTCATAAATATAATTCAGGTGTTTCTAAGTTATAATTAGCATATTCTAATATTCCCCATCTTTAAAGTTTAGAATGAGACAGCTGCATTTATTTATTTTATTTTATTTTATTTTTTTAGAAAAAAATATATGGGTTGTAGCTAATTAATCTAATGATGGTGGTCTAATTTGAACTCAAAATTTGGTGTTAAGGGTACCCACAAATGTATGTCAGTATTGTCAAGTTAGTACAAAATGACAACCAAAAAGTTAACAGCCACATTAATTTATAAGACTAATTGCATAATTAATAATAACAGAAACAATTATCAGTTGATGACTGTTCCATGAGCTGGACAATTAATTGGCATCTCTTAATAATGCTCTCTTTCTGATATTATAATGTTAATATTTATGGGGTTACTATTTATGTCCATGTATATGTATATATATGTATATAAATATATAAATATTCTTAGTTTATGTTAAAAACTTTTGTCACGTGAGCTTACCTCGTTCTTCCACCGCCCCTCAATTTTCAAAACAATTAATTTAGTTTTATTTCCACTATATTCAGTCAATAAAAAAATTTAGAAAAAATAAAAAATTGGTGATTTTGTTTTTTGTTCGTGGAATTCTGAACAATAAAACGACGTCGCAGGCAATTGAAGAGCTATACAACCTGGGAAAAATAGCATGCCCCGTGGCACTGACAACGCTGCTCTACTTCTCGAAAACAATAATCTCCATGCTTTTCTTGGGCCACATGGAGAAGGCCGAACTCGCCGGCGGCTCACTCGCCATCGGCTTCGCCAACGTCACCGGCTTCTCAGTCATGAAAGGTCTCTGCACCGGAATGGACCCCATTTGCTGCCAAGCCTTCGGCGCCCGCCGCTGGCCTGTTCTGAGCCAGACATACATCAAAACCGTCGTCCTCCTCCTCATCGCCACCGTCCCCATGGCCTTCCTCTGGCTCAACGCCGAAACCCTCTTCCAACGCCTCGGCCAGGATCGCGTCATCAGCAAAATCGCTAAGAACTACCTTCTTTTCTCAATCCCGGAATTAATAACCCACGCTAATTTAGTTCCTCTGCGCACGTTGCTCAGAACTCAGGGATTGAACTCGCCCAACACCATCGTTGCCACGTGTGTTTCCGCCGTACATTTGCCGGTTACGTATTTCCTCGTCACGTATTTGAACATGAGGGTAAAGGGTATTGCTTTGGCATCCGTGATTTACTCGCTCAACATGAATATCGGGTTATGGATTTATCTCTATTTCTCGAAAGCGGCGATAAAACCATGGGCCGGCGCCACTCTCGGCTCAGTCTTCCACGGCTGGAAGCCGTTGTTGGGCTTGGCTTTACCGAGTGTTTGTCAGGTGTGTCTCGAATGGTGGTGGTACGAAATCATTCTCTTCCTCAGCGGATTGTTACCAAACCCTGAATCCTGCGTGGCGGCGATGGGGATATTAATCCAAACAACCGGCACCGTTTACGTTTTCCCATTCGCTCTCAGCCTCAGCATTTCCCAGCGCGTCGGCCACGAGCTCGGCGCCGCGCAGCCGGCTCGAGCGCGGCTGGCGGCCATAGTCGGAATCTTGGTCGCCGCCGCGTACGGCGTCTCCGCCTTCGGAATGAGCTTGGCCCTCAGATCTCTGTGGGGGAAACTTTACACCACCGATACGCAGGTACTGGGATTGATATCCTCCGTCCTTCCGATTCTAGGGTTGGCGGAAATAGGGAACGCGCCGCAGACGGCGGCGAGTGGGGCGCTGACGGGATCGGCGCGGCCAAAGGTTGGGGTGAGGATAAACATAGCGGCGTTTTATCTGGTGGGGTTGCCGTGCTCGGCAGTGTTTGCTTTCAAGATGAAGATAGGGTTTCAGGGACTGTGGATGGGGCTGGTGGCGGCGCAGGGCGCGTGTATGGCGATGATGTTTTATAGCTTGTCTCGGACTGACTGGAAACATGAGGCGAAGAGGGCGGAGGAGCTGACAATGGCGGTCGGAGATAAGGAAGATTCCGCCGGAACTAACCTGGTTGCTTGATAAAGAAAGATATAAAGAGTGTAAATTGCAATTGCAGGCTTCTTTCTTTCGTTTTGTTTGGATTAAATTAATTTACAGAGAGAGATAGGATTAAATTACCTTTTAATTAAGTTGATTTTTATTGGTTATTACTTATTATTATTATTGCATAAGTGATGATTTCAATTTATATTTATATATATTTTTTTAAAAGATATATATTATTTGCCTTGGCTAATTGGACCTTTTGGGCCCATTTCCTTATAGGCTTTGTTCTTTAGGGCCTTTATGGACCATTTAATTAAGGGCCTTCGCTGTAATTCTTTGTTCAAAAAAAAAAAAAAAAAATTCAATGAAACTCAAATGAAGGGACATACGATATATGCATTATTTGATGTCATTAAATCCCCCATTAATCAAATAATAGAACATGCCCTTGATTAATATAATAGCCAAACATTGATCTAATATCATTAATAAATAATCGGTTATGAAAGCAGTCTGACACAAGAAATTGAAGGGTGTGCATTTGTGCATGCATGTGTTTGCATCTATACTAATTAATTAGTGGATAATGTTTTGAATTAATTGCCCTTAACATGGTTTAGTTTTTTTTTTCTTTTTCTTTTTTTTTTAAGGAATAACATGATTTATTTGATGAAGTGGGAGAGGGTGACGTCTAACGAGTTGAGTTTGATTTTCCCGGTCAAGACCTTCACGAACGATCTCGTCCTTAAAATCAAATTTTATGTTACAGTAGAAACCAAATAAAATGTTACACAATTCCATGATTAATTTCTCACTCTTGATTTCCCATTTTATAATCTTCATTAATTTAATGTGGATGGGACTTTTCATTCGTTTTACTAAATCAAACGTGTAAAAAGATCGTGACCTTTTATATATATAACAAGGAGACGTTTCAATTTCATAAATTAATTTTGTTCGACGATAAATAAATAAATTAATCCCATTAAAAATATTCTTAACCCAGAGTTTAAGAGTAGTTTTATACACAAAAAAATAAATTAAAATAGTTAGTGGAATGAATAGTCTTTTATAAAATGAAAAAAAAAAAGCAGGGAAAGTTTTCCCTGTAGTTGCACCTCGCACAAGGCATCCGTGATGCCATGATGTACCAGACTCAGTTTAACTTTATTTTCCAGATGTCGAATTCTCATTGGCTAATAGCAACACCTCCACAATGCACTTCAATTTCCTACCAAATATTTTCCCCTACTTTTGTTTGCACTTTAAAAAATGAAATAAAAGCCCTCTCTCTCTCTTTCTCTCTCTCTCTCTCTCTCTCCAGAAAACTCAACACATAGTCAGATACTCTACAGAATATCTTCATTCCAACACCATAGAAGAAGGCCCAAAAAAAATAAACGATTAAATGTGTATTATTACGAGCTAAATTGTTTTAATCTTCGGATTTGTGGAGAAATCAGATAGTTTGGAATTAATCAGGTGTTTCATTTCCATATTTGTGTGCATGTCTGTTTGTATATAGAACAGTGGCTGCACCTGTAAGTCTTCTCTCAACTCTTTTCGCCTTTGCTTTCATTTAGGGTTTCTCTTTTTTTTCTTCCCCTTTTTTGGTTTAGTCTTGTTTTAAAGTATTCACTGTTAACTTGGCTTCGCCTTCAAGCTGTGTTTCTATTTCCCCCTACGGGTTTAAAAGTCAATATTCCTTTTTTTGCCCCAACAATTAGACGGATTTTTCTTCTTAGGGAAAGACTTCATTTTTTGGGGGCTCGGTTTGTGGGGTAGTGTTTGGTTTGGACTGATCAGAGGTAGAATTAATTGGATTTTATCCTGGTGATTTTGGATTTTTTTTTTTCAAGTAAGTGAAAGTTGAATTGAGTTGTGCATGGTGGATTTTGGTATAACTAATTAAGTTTTTGATATTAACTTGAAGCTAATTGTGAACTTTTCTTGAATTTGAAATTTGGAAGAGGATGGCTTCTTCTGAAGTAATATAAAATTTAAGGTGATGGTGTGGCAATTGGGGATAATTTAGGGGTGGGGGTGGGGGAGAGTGAACATGAGTTCCGGTGGTAAGAGTCGAGGGAAAAAAGATGAGTCGGAGCATGACAAGTCTGGGAAGACATCAGTTGAAGGAGTTTCGTCGAAAGATTCAATCACTGCACCGATGGATTTGTGCATTGATGAGAGAGTGCTTGTTGATCCTAAATCCATTTTTATTGGGTCTAAAATTGGCGAGGGAGCTCATGGAAAAGTTTATCAAGGAAGGTCCGTTTCTAATTCTTGGCTCGTAATATTATTTTTAATTGAATTGGTTGAGCAAACGCAAACTTTGAAACTATTTGTGTATTTGGAATTGCTATCCAAGAGATTTATTCTGTTTGACTTTCGGTTCTTGTATTAGTTATTTGAATTCTACTACAACTTTTTGTTACAGGTATGGCGACCGAATTGTTGCCATTAAAGTTCTTACATGTGGTAATACATCAGAAGAAAGAACTGTCCTTGAGGGTCGTTTTGTTAGGGAAGTCGCAATGATGTCTAGAGTAAAGCACGACAATCTAGTGAAGGTGAGACTGCGCTATAACGTGTGTTCTTATGATTTAAACGTGGTTTTCTGATTTTCCCAAATTGAAACTTGAAACACTGCGAAAACATTTATTTCTCAAAATTGCAAGACTCAAATTGATTTATCCTGTCTTCTAATCTTAAATTTTTCTGCAGTTTATCGGAGCTTGTAAAGATCCTTTAATGGTGATAGTTACTGAGTTGTTGCATGGGATGTCACTTCGGAAGTATCTAAGTAGCATTCGTCCTAATCAGCTCGATCTGCCTGTGGCATTAGATTTTGCACTTGACATTGCTCGGGCCATGGATTGTTTACATGCAAATGGGATTATACATAGAGACTTAAAACCGGGTATTGTGGTGTTCTGAGCTGTATAAAAACATAAATATGTAAATTGATCAGTCTTTTCACATTGTAGACTCTGTTCTCGTTTCCTTTTTCCCTTAATATTCATTTGTAGCTGTTTTTCATACATGATTGAGATTATCATCCTTGTCTTTTCGATTACCTTGCCATTCTACAAAAAAAATATCAAGCCTTTTCTAACTCTCATTATTTCGTGTTCGTTTTGTTTTATTTTCTTCAACTGATTTATGTTACAATATGAACCAGTATGTGCGACCTCTTTCTTTCTCTTTCCTTTAAAAAAAACATTACGTGTAGTATAATTAGGGGATTTGTTGCACTTAAACTGAGAAGAAATACACCTGAAACCCTATGGTGCAGACAACTTGCTGCTTACGGCGAATCAGAAGTCAGTGAAACTTGCAGATTTTGGTCTTGCCAGAGAAGAATCTGTCACTGAAATGATGACTGCAGAAACCGGCACGTATCGCTGGATGGCTCCTGAGGTTTGCACTTTTTATACATTTTTAAACCCTAACAAACAAAATTTTTGCCACATTCGTTTTCATCTTTTCTTCGTGAATGCTTTTATCGTGTTCCCATTCCGCCTAAGTTATATGTAGAAATATGTTCAATGTTTGTAATTTATTTGAAGACCTGCTTTATGGGATTCCCCAAGTAATGATTTCGATGGAAACTCTGCAGTTATACAGTACAGTGACTCTTCGTCAGGGAGAAAAGAAGCACTACAACAACAAAGTCGATGTTTACAGCTTCGGCATTGTACTCTGGGAATTACTTACAAATCGCATGCCGTTTGAGGGAATGTCAAATTTGCAGGCTGCTTATGCTGCTGCTTTTAAGGTACGTATCTATGTCCAATACAAAACATACATATTAAATTCCTTCATTGGACTCGTTAGTCGAAAATTCTTACAGATTGGGCTATCCTTTGTGCTTACTGAATCATGTCGAGCAAAAGAACACATGCTAATATTAATCTATTTTGACTCATTTGCAGCAAGAGAGGCCTATTATTCCGGAAGAAACTCCGCCAGAACTTGCTTATATAATTCAATCATGTTGGGTTGAAGAACCGAACATGCGGCCCAGCTTCAGCCAGATCATTCGCATGCTCAACGAATTTATACTTACTCTCAAACCGTCTTCTTTGCCAGAAGAAACCAACTCGTCCGAGGCGGAATTGACTAAAAACGGTGCTATTATAGAGTTTTCAACACGTGCTAAAGGGAAATTTGCTTTCCTTCGCCAACTTTTTGCTACAAAGAAGGCCATAATAAACTCCTAGTCTTTTTTTTTTTGGGTCCCAATTGTGAAATTGTGGAGATCAGTGATATATATATAGTAGGTTTTACATGTTTGAGCATTGGGAAAATTCATAAAATCAACTAGTAAAAATCGACCTCATGGATTTGTTGTACTTGACAATATTTTCTCTTCTGCAGAATCTTTTATGTAAATGCGGCAGGTTACATTTGTTTTCCAGGGTTTGGTTGAATAATATGCAGCAACTTTTTTAATGGAAAAAAAAAATTATAAAATCATAGAAAAAAGTTTTTTTTTTTTTTTTTTTGAATTTTGAATAATCCAGTTATTGTGAGACCTCACAGACTAATCTTAGGAGCATATAGAAACGTCGTATTTAAAATGCAAAAGTCCAAACTAAAATGCATCTGTAATCGGCCGCAGTCGACTTCATTGCCTGCAGTCAAAGTCAACTCACGTGTTGCTATCGTAGCCGTTGATGACACGTCACCTGAGGCAGCAGAGACCCGATAGACGGTCCAGATGTTGTAACTGGGACACACAGGAGGGGTACAACGTAGTAGAGAATTTAGAAAATAAAGACAAGGAGGTGAATTAAGCGAACGACTCACAGAGTCAACGCCAAACTACAGTTCAGACAAAATTTCACATAGTAGCAGTGAAATTATTTTGTAGGTGGTGTTAGATATACGAGTCTATTTTGTATTGTATACATAAATATAAATATAAATATAAATATATATGTGTCTGTTTCTAATTTAAAGATCAATTGAAAAGACTTGGAAAAATCCGAGGAGAGAAGATTCAAGATCTACGGGAAAACTATACACTGTAATTTTCCTGGGTTCGAATCCTTCTTGGTAATTTGTCATTGGTCAGCCACGAAAGACCATTTTTTTTTTTTTTTTTGTCTTCTTTTATCATCATCACTTGAGATTTGATAGCAAGATTATGTTTTTTTTTATTATTGTTTGATCTACAAGTTTGAAGCTGTACTCGCTTCTTGAATTCACGCGCTTCTCGTTTCTGAGCCCCTTTCGAGGTAAATAATTGGGGTTGAATTGGTTCAACCCGCTCGTTGAAAAATCGGTTCTTGATTGTTCAGAGTGTTGATTTTTCGCCAAGTATTTAATTGGGTTTTTATATATATATCGAATTCCCAGTGAGATAATTAGTTTGTGTGTCGGAAAATCTGAATCCCTAATTGTGGGAGGGGATGTGGTGATATGGAAGAAAATGCGGCAGCTCTGCACACAACTATAAATTCAGTGCAGGCATTGGGAAGGGGATTCGATGTGAACTATGATACTAGGTTGCTTTATTGCAAAGGTGTGTCTGGTTCAAGAATTGTTGATATAGATGAAGGGCACACAAGGGATTTGTACTTGTCTGATGAATTAGTTGTGCCTAATGTTTCCAAGGATATCAGAAATTCGCAGGAGACGGGTGGCCGTGATGGTTTCGGTGTTTGCAGTTATAATGAGGTTATTTTTCAACTGAATTACTTGTCTAAATTTTTTTATTTGGCATATCGAAAATTTCATTTTTTAGAAATTTGTTTGCAGTATTTGCTATGTGTTAGATATTTTAAGTTCTCACTTTCAATTTTACTCGCTGCTGTGATATAATGAAGAGGAGCATTTTCCACTTATTCGATCTTGCATTGTAGTTGAGGCGAAAATAGTTTGGACATAGAAGTAATATTTAACATTTTATTCCGTCAGAAACTTATCGGTTAGGTTCAGTTTGAAGAGTTTAGCGCTTTACTTGGACTATGACTGCCAATTGTTGTTTCAAGAACTTTGGTATGGATAGTCGATTGGGACAAAAGAAATATGGAAATAATATTTCCGTCTATAGGGAATTAGGATGTAAAAAAATGGAATTGTTTTCTAAGGTTTTATGAAAGGAACATAGTTTAATTTCTTTTGGAATAAAAAGACATTCTTGAGACATGAGAGATTTCGGTTCGTTTGATTGGTGTCAAATTTGGATTATTTCCGGAGGACCCAAAACTCGGACTTATTTCAATTTTTGTTATTGAATTATCGAATTTATGATATTAGTCCGAATATTTTTGCAATCTTTTCGTAATTCTTGATGAATATAGCAAATATTTGCACTCACTAGAGAACACCTCGATGAATACAGATGGTGGAATATTTCAACAAAAAGGCTAATCTCTCTGGAAATAATACTCCACTCGGTAGTTTCAATTCAGCTTTCAGCTTTACGGGTTCTAAGCATATAGATGCCGCCTCCACAAAGTCCCTTTGCATCGATGGTTTTTTCATCCCACTTGCTAAATTTCATCTTGCAAATTCACCTATGATCTTAAACGAAAATGTGAGAAGAGCAGTGCCGAAATCGTGGGACCCACCAGCCTTAGCAAGGTAGAAAAAAAACTTTAGTCATCTTTCTGCAGGAGATTTATAGCTCTGTTTTCTAATTGTTTTATTGTTGACAGCTTCATTGAGAACTTTGGCACGCATGTTATTACATCGGTAACAATTGGGGGTAAAGATGTAATCTACGTCAAACAACACCTATCATCGCCTCTATCTATCGTGGAGATCAAGAATTATGTTCAAGATATTGGAAATCAAAGATTTTCCACAGAAGGCCTTACAAGTTCAGGCCTATTAAAATACAAAGATAAGGTTAGTTTCGGTTTATTTCTTTCTTCTTGCCGTTTAATAATCTTTTCAACTTTATTTCTTGTGTTAATTTTTTTATTTTTTTCCGATGTTGGAATTTTCCAGGGAAGTGATCCTTCTTTGTTCAACAGCCAAGGAATATACCCGCAACCAGCTAGTGCACCTTACCTCTCTGGGAGTGGCAAAGAAGTATGTAGATTATATCCTTCTTTATAATCGAGCTACGTTTGAAATCAAAAACTGAAAAATCGTAAAAACATAGTCGAGCCGAATTTAATTTTGAATTGAAATATATATAATGCAGGATGTGACAGTTATATTTAGAAGAAGGGGAGGGGATGATTTGGAACAGAGCCACACTCAGTGGGCAAAAACAGTTAGATCATCTCCAGATGTCATTGAAATGGAATTCTTTCCGATAACCGAACTTCTTGATGGTGTTAAAGGAAATGAACATTTGTCACGCGCCATTGCTCTATACCTAGAGCGTAAGACTATCTTTTTCTTCACATTTCTTTTCTTTCTGTCTTCCTTTCTTTTTTAATATCGGACCATTTTTTGTGCAGACAAGCCTCAGATCGAAGAACTTAGATATTTCCTAGAATTTCAGGTCCCTCGAATATGGGCCCCCGTACAGCAAACGTTTCCCGGACAACCTAGAAAAGAACCCGTTTGCCCTTCTTTACAATTCAGCATCATGGGACAAAAGCTTTATGTCAGCCAAGAGCAAGTAAAGTGTTTTATCTTCCAAACCTTAAAAAAAAGAAAAAAAAAAAACTTAAAATTCATTTATCGAAAAATTAAACTTAAAAACAAAAACGCAGGTTTCGGTTGGACGAAAGCCCGTGACAGGCATGCGGCTATGTCTAGAAGGGTCGAAACAGAATCGGCTAACCATCCATCTCGAGCATCTGGCATCTCTTCCAAAGATTCTCCATCCATACTGGGACCCACACGTTGCAATCGGTGCACCGAAATGGCAAGGGCCCGAAGAACAAGACAGCCGGTGGTTCGAGCCCGTGAAGTGGAAGAAATTCTCCCACGTCAGCACTTCGCCGATTGAGAAACCGGAGACGTTCATAGGTGGCGATCTCGCGGGTGTGTACATAGTGACAGGGGCCCAGTTGGGGGTTTGGGATTTCGGTTCGAGAAATGTACTTCATATGAAGCTTCTGTATTCGAGGCTTCCAGGTTGTACTATACGGAGATCGTTGTGGGATCATGCTCCGAACGAGAAGCAGTTGAAAAAACGGGATAACGTGGGGGGCGACGAGTCTAGTTCGAGTGGGGGAGAAGAATATGTGGGGAACAAGTTGGCGAAATTTGTGGATGTGTCTGAGATGAGGAAGGGGGCGGAAGATTCTCCGGGGCATTGGTTGGTGACAGGTGGCAAGCTTGGTGTGGAGAAGGGGAGGATTGTACTTAGAGTCAAGTATTCTTTGCTTAATTATTGATTAGTTTGATGTTTGAATTAAACTTTGATTTTGGTAATGTTGTTAATGTACAATGTATAATGTAATATGGGTGTTAAGGAATTTTCTGAGAATGGTTTGTTGTGTTTTCGGTGCATAAAGTAAACAAATTGTTGTCTCATTTATTTTAGGCCTGGAACAATCTTTATTTCATCTCATCTATTTATACTTGATGATCACATATTTAAACTAAATTAAAAAAAAAAGTAACATATACTACAAATAAAACTTATATAAATTACAACTTTTAGATGCATAAATGTTTATTATTATTAGTCATGTAACAAACAGGCCTTTTGGCTGCTTCACATTTTTTTTTGAAAAAGGAAAAATAAAAATAAAAAGAACATATATATGATATAAAGATGGGTGATAAAAGTTGAATTGGGAATTAGAATTGTGGGCCCTCAAAGGTTTGACCGAACTGCCAGCCGTGGGGGACGATGTTATTGGCGGTGAGGGTGCGGCCGTCGCTGGCGATGACGCGGAAAGAGAGGGATTGACCGTCGAGAAAAGAGTTGCTTTGCCAATTTTGCCCCCAGTTTCTTGTCATGGGCTGCCATCCTGTGCGGGAGCCCTTAATGGATACAGTGTGTACGTCACCTGCCCCACCGACATTTGTTATAAGCACCAAGTTGAAGTATGAATGGCCGTTGATCGTGAACCTCATCCCTCCTTTCTTCGCGCATGCAACTCTGCAAATCGCGTACGTATTTTTATATATAAACACATGCATCATTCATTATATAATATGACCTAATTAATCATGATGTTTAACAAGAGATTAATATATTATTAAGAATTAATACCTTCTAAAGACCACAGGAACAATCCCAGCACGGTACTCGGCGATTTTAAGAAAGGCGGGCTGAGCCAGATCGAAGTGGCGGCGAGGGGGGTTGCACCAGCCGCCGTTGTCGCTGGCGAGAGCGTAGTTCGGCGGGCAGAAGTTGGTGGCGGTGACGGTTATGGTGGAGGAGCGGCACCACTTTGGATCGGCGTTGCACTTCATTTGGTAGCAGGCGCCGCAGCTCAACCCATTGTTGAACAGTGCAGTACTTAGTGCTGCGGTGCTTGTACCATAGCCCTGGCTGTACAAATTCCCATAGCCACATGCTCCTCCTGCATATATTCATACATATTCGTAATTAATTATGAACCGGCCCGGTCACTACTTAATGCATCTTTATATACACTTTTTTTTGACAATATGATTCTGATCAATTTAATAATGTGTAAGTATACATACCCATAGTGCCGGCAGCATCAGAGCCGCCGTAAAATGTAGCATGGGCACTTTGCCAACCGCCGCCGTATCCATTAACTTGGTGAACTAAGCATGAAACCAACACACATAGATTCAGTAGCTTTATCCTATATTGAACTGTGCTTGCCATCTTTTGCGCGCGTGCGTGCGTGTGTGTGTGTGTGTGTGTGTGT